CACTTCTGTTTACATTTGCTGTGGTAGGTGGCATCTTGGCATCTTCGCCTTGGATGCATTGCTTTCCTTGTTGACGACGTGTGATGTCTGGTGAGCAACGGGGAATCTGGAGCGTGGTATAATCCACGAGCTTTTGCGTACCCGGCCAATAATAATGCCTGCTGATGGCCTGGTACGTCTTCTTTTGACCTCGATGGCCTGCTGTCATATGATCATGGTGCTTGTATAGAAAGTGTGTCAAAAATTCCGGAAGCTGCGGAACGCAGATCAACCCGATCCCGTTGATGTTGATTTGCAGGTAGGGGAATCAATAGCGGAAACTATACCGACGATGTTGGATATCCTGTTACGCACTGCGTGTGCATGTGCTTCAGTCCACCGGAAAGGGACCCCTTTTCTTGTGCGCGGCCGTCCTACTTCACGCAAGTAGGCATTTATGTTTGTTTGAAAGGTTGCTGGAACCCCTTTTAGCCCAATAGGCATGACGTTATACTCGAAAATCCCTATGACCGATCGGAACGCCGTTTTCGACTGGTCTTCCTTGGCCATTCGTATTTGGTGATATCCTACTTCCAGGTCCAAGTTGGAGAAAAACTTGGCTCCCCCAAGCATTTCTAAAACCGTTGGGAAAATCTGGAGCAATCATAAGAGGGTTGACCTCCCTGTAGTTTACCACCATTCGCATCTTGCGTTCACCCTTCCGTCCTCCCGTTTGTCCACCATAATTGTAGGTGCACAGATAGGAGAGTAGCTGGGACCTTCCGTTGTAAATTTGATAGCTGGGGTCTGGAGTTTGGCAATCTCCTGCTTATATGCTTGGAGTTGCTCGGGGGAAATGTGATAAACGACGGACATTTTAGGAGGTTGGCAATCTCCTGCTTATATGCTTGGAGTTGCTCGAGGGACATGCGATAAATGACGGACTTGGTGGGCAACTTCCCCGACACCAACAGGATCCTATGGTCGTAAGGCCGTCTCGGTGATAATCCGGCGGGTAATGTGTCGGGGGAGACCGGACGGTATTCCCTCAATATCTCTAGGATAGGTTGGGGTGTTGCTCTAGCCCCTTCTGAAGCCATCCATGCATCAAATAGGGTATGCTGCAAAATGGCACTTGGCCAAGGGGACTCCCCCTCTGATAATACTGGGTCCGTCGTGATTACTGAGACTGTCTGCTCCTCTGCTGCAGCGGAGGCTTCCCTAACATAATGCTCCCTGGCCTATATGTGGTCCTATCTGGCCAATCATGGCCAGGGAGCATTATGTTGCCGTAACAGCCCCCATATGTACTGCGCAGCCGTCCTAAGCTGTGCCTGCTTATCGTCTCATAACGTCTGGCTTCCTAACTACATCCTCTATCTACCCAATTACTCCGAGGTCGGTACTTAAATTTCCAAAACATATTCGAGTCTCTATTATAAACGAGGGAAGTTCCCTGGAATAATAGAACTGTGTTCTGAATCGACCCCGGTCATGGCTGGGTGTCAGTGCCCAACCTATAAGATGACGGGGGGATATCAACGGGGACGAGACGGTCAGGAGCCTGACCTATAACTGCAGTCTCCCAGAGTCCTATTCATATACAATATACTCCTATATAGTAATAACTCTACTATTATTATCCGTATCTCCTATCCAATTATATCTCTAAAGGAACCTACCAAAAGGAACCTGGTACCCTGTCCAGCCTGTTGTCTGCAGATATAAGCCTTGCAGCCAACTTGTTCCGCGGCTTCTCGTTTAAGCGGTGAGCTCTCTCATCACTAGAACGTGTGGCCGGCTGTCTAGCCCCTTTGTCGACCACGCTTCGTGCCGATGTTGGGCAGTCTGCAGTGTAGTTTCCTCAAACCGCTCGTTCCACTTCGCCAAGAGACTTGCTTCATCTGGTGACAGTCGTCGTGTCTTGTCCTCCTTGCTTGAGTGTGCAGTCTCCAACATCGTGGAAGCAATTACGCCGGCGAACTGCTCGGTTGGCTGGTTCAAGATCTGCTTTCACCTTTCGATTTCTCTTAACGAGCTTTTGGCAATTTTGCTTTAGCTGCTCTGCTGTCGCATTCTCCACTTGCTCCTGCAGTTCCCCTGCTCGCTGGGGACCCGTCCGCTTGCTGCAGGCTTCGTACCTACTGCCATCTTTAGGGCAGCTTCCTTGGTTTCCCCAGCGTTATCTGCCAGTCCTTACACCAACACCAGCATATTTACTTCCTCTTGCAGCCGGGACGCAGCAGCGCGCTGTTTCGCACGTCCTAATGACGATTTTGCTGTCAAATTTGACGAAGGCAGCAAGCGGTCCAAACCGTCTCTAACCCTAAACACCAACTAAAATGCTTCTTTTGCGTTTTCTGGCAACACTAAAGTACCCAACGCCGGTCCCTAAGCCCTGTCTCCTATCACTCTATCCGGTGTCCCCCACTTATCACCTGTTTCTTAGCACCCCCTGCTACCGCAACACACGGTTGCCGTTTAGTGTTCAGCGCACACCGGATCTGCCCGTCCAAAGGACCGCCGTTCAGGTGGAATCGCCACTGTTTTCTCAAGTCACTCGTTGCATGCTGCTCATGGCCCTTCCAGAATCGAACCAGCTCAGAGACTAGCTCGTCAAAGGCCTGCAACGGATGTGCTCCTGCTTCTTCTGCTGCATCCTTCTATGAATTCAGTCACCTGCCTTGCACCTTCGGGCTGTCCCAGAGTCGTTTGTGTTGCTTTGGTGGTGCGTAGCAAGAGCAGCTAGCCCCTCAGGATATCCGATCGCTATACAACAGACTTGTACTGCGCCGCCTTTGCTATTTGCTTCCGTGTATCATGAACAAACGTACTACATCCCTTTCTATTCACAATGACAGCCAATAAAGCTGCATGGTTAACGGAGCGTTGCTGTCTAAGCAATATCACCAACTGACCAGATACACTCTGCTCATCAATTCCCACATATCCTTCGTCTTGATCTTCCCGTGAAGGTTCGCGCCTCGGCTGCTTCTCACCTCCTGCGCGTGACGCCTCATCAGCTTTCGACCTCATATTCCCACCGGTCATGTGGTATCCCTGCGTTCAAGAATGTTATTTCTAGGTGGCTAAGGAAGTTCATTATGCTCGATCCATCGTCCGGGGTATGTGGGTAGAGGTCGGGAAAGAGATGCACCCCCTTTGTGCTCTGGTTTCATAATCATCATATCTCGCTGTGTGTAGAGGAGAATCTGAATCTGAATCTAAGTCTATTCTCGGAACATAGTGTCCTTCCCGCCGCCTGGTTCCATCGTGTGTCCGCGCCCCACACCCATGTCTCCGTCCCTCGGGGGGGTCTCGTTCGCCTCCCATCGTCAGTTCTGCCGCAAGGTGTCTGTGTGCAAGGGCCAAACGTCGAGAGAGAAAGATCCCTAGGGTTCAGAATAAGAGAAAGGAAGGAAGAAAGTGAAACTTCTCCTCTAGTTTCCCGGAACGGCCCCCAAACGTAGCTCACGGTGGCCGTCTACCGTGGCTATTTATGACTTCTGAATAGGCCCGTGGCTTCTATGTCACTAGATCTACAGATTACGTGTCAAAATAACGTTAGGTTTCTGTTATTCCCAGGGAAATCCCCGATTACGGAACTTCCGATGGAAGGATCGATCAAAACCGCCACCCTCCATCAATCTCTGCTTGGACGGACTACTGCCGGCTATTCAACCCGGCACCAGGTGCTTCGGTCGGACCGCCGGCACCACCCGACTCCTTCGGACTAACTCTGCTCCTACATGTGCCAATTTCATTCTAATTAATAAGACATTCATCTCTAATTGAATGCACAGTGCTACACAAGCCCTAACTGTTTCTTACTTTCGCGCATAGCGCAGCGGCTGGGGTGCTGCTACTTAACACCGGGCCCTAATAAACTGCTACACCTCTAATATACTCATAAATCTACTAATCTTACTGAATTCTTATTATGCTTGAACCAAAGTAACCTTAGACCTCGAATAAACTCATAGTATCTACTCTCTATCTTCCTCTTAAGCTACCGCAACCGTGGGTAATGTAGTACCTGTGCACTACACTGGCTGCTAGCAAGGGTAGTCCTACGGCTCCACCTACGGTACTCTATTCTTAGAACATTTAGCAGTAGTAATTCCCTTTCTTAGTTTCTAATGTGATAATCATTCTCTTTATGGTCACTGAGCTACTAGAGATCACACCAGAGTCACATTGTAGTGCCTGTACATTACAGAAGGTGTAGTGCGCGGCCTTCCTAGGTCACGCCAACTAGTAGTCGCGTAGTCCCTACTCCCTAAGTATATAACCTTTGACTACCAAGATCCCCCTAAGTCTACAGCACGAATAACAAATCATTTTAGGGATTCTGTAATAATAATGCGAGTTCGTAGAATAAAAGAACTGTGCTCCGTATTGACGCCGGTCATGGCTGGGTGTCAGTGCCCGGCCCACAGGATGGCGGGGTGAATCTCAATGGTGGTGGAACGGTCAAACGCCTGACCTAGAGCTCCACCAAGGTCGTAATTATAGTTATAATACACATTTATAGTAATGCTTCTATCACGTATCTAATTAGATCTCTAAAGGAGCCTCCCTGGTACACGAGTGGTGGAGTGGCTGCTGGCCAGGGCGATCCTACTAACCTATAGCCCTGTCTATGGTACTCGATTCTTAGAACATCTAGCAGTATTAATTGCTTTTCGTAGTTTTTAATGTGATAATCCTTCTTTCTATGACCACTAGGCTGCTAGAAACCTTACCAGAGCCCTATTGTAGTGCCTGTGCACTACACATGCTGCACCGCCAACCACATTCACCTATGCCTTGTACTCTCTAGCTTCGATGCCACCCACAGAGTGTAGAAAGTTGCTAAATACAATTCTTTTTAATCCTGTATTTCCATATAACATATTGGCTTTCCAGGCTTGGGGGGGTGGCGTAGTCCATGGCTCCATCCCCTGCCAGAGGGAGCACCTATGGTAAATACAAATTGTACAGCGAATACAGCATTTTCCATCTGACGGTGACGGGACAGAATGAAGACGAAGGCTCCAAAGGGCTCTGCTGTGGGCTCTGTTGCGCTTTTTGACTTCGCCGCAAGGGAGTGAGGCCAGGGTTTGTGCTCTCCCGTAATTTATCACTGGCAAACACAACTACACAAATCTGCATGGTTGGATAAGTGGGTTGCACCGGTGCTGTCGTTCATGCTACTGGGTGTTGTGACATCTGCTCCGTCAACTGCAGGAGTGCGCATCCGCGGCCTAAGGAAGGTACTCCGCAGCTTCAGAGCTGCCGGCTACGTAGGATCAGAGGTTTGGGTTGCGTTGTTCGTTGTGCGTTCCAGAGAATTCATCACAGGAGCTTCTAAGCGTAAGGAACAACGCAGGAAAGAGGCCCATGAAAGAGCCCTCCAGAAGCAAAAGGAGGAGAGACGACTACTGCGAGCCCAGGTGCGTCACTTCGTAGCAGCTGAGCATATTGCCTTTATGGGTTACAAGCCAGTGTACTCCTTGGCAACGCCACATAAGCAAGATGCACTTTGTCTGCAGGGGTGCGCGCCCAAGAGCATTTATTTAGTGTATATCCGGTCTTGTTTCCCTGCAGCGCCGAGAGGAGATCAGAGAGCACATCAACTACGTGAAGCGCAGCCAAGAGCTAGCCGAGGTGGCAGCGGAAGTTGTTACTTCTCTCCAGGGCAAACGCCAAAAGAGGTGTGTTGGCATTGAATCCCGAGGCGGCCACAGCAATACCAGCAGCCAAGCAACGAAACAAGAAGGTGTGTCGGATGCTCTCAATGTGTATATATGCGCAAAGAGGATCTCTGTGTGTATATAAAGCAGGGGAAGATTGTGGTTTGATACGGACATTGTGCGCCGAAACTTCTGCGCCTAACGTCTCTGCTTCCCTTGCCGTGGTGCATGTAGCCGCCGCCTCAAGGATGGTGCCTTCATGGTGTGTGAATACGGAGGCGTTAACGCCACGGCATTGTCTATACGTTTTGCTGTTTGGGATGTCGCAGGTGACGCAGCCGAGAGGGATTGGAAGGCTCCGAAGCCCCATCCGGGCCAAACAAGTGAAGCCGTTCAGGTACGGCGTACGTCGCACTTGATGCTGTCGTCTGAGTTGCAGCTACTTCCTTTGCATGTGGCAGGCCGCTAGCCTGTTTGCACTACCCGAGCACCGGGCCCAATGCGATTACTAACAAGAGCATCGTGAAGAGGGAGGTGCCAGCAGGGTAAGGCTCCAAAGTGTGGCTCCGTTGGTTAACGGGTTTCATCATGTCGGCGCCTTTATGTGTCTCATACAGGCCGTTCGTTTGCTGCCACCGCCGACAAATGACGCTTCCTCCTCCCCTTGGCACATCGGCTCTTGTGTGTCGCTCTCTTTGGGGGGATTTATAGAACCCCAGGCAGCAGCACCACCACCAACCGCGAGGGCTCCGCACCCTCAGCAAACACAGTCTGAGGCGTCTGGTAATTCAAAAAGAAAGCAGCTACAGAATCCTTCCACATCCGGGACGCCAAACGTGGCCATGAGTGTTAAGAAACGACCTCAGGGGACACCGAGAGGCGCGAAGTCTGGCAAACAAAAACAGAAGAAGAGACACAAGTCTCGTGGTACTCAAAGAAAGCGGAGAAACCGCAAGTGAAGGCCAAGTCGAAGACCATTTGACCCTCAGTCAGCCTGCTGGGGGGATCCCCATCGAACTTGCCATGTTTAACGGCATTCACACTAACAGGCTTTACTAGTGGCGGAAACAGCTGCACCAAAACTAGTTGTGCAGCTCCGTCCCCACCGCATGTTGTTAGCCCCTACTTGTGCGTTGCCCTATGGAGATGCTTCCGTCAGCGACTTGTCGCTGACGGAAGCACCTCCTTCCTATTAAGAGGTAGCTGCAGGCAGCGACTTCAGTGGTATCACCAGCCCGCCATCAGCTTTATTTGCACGGCTTCCCACCAGGTGTCGCATCGCTGGAAAGTCTTTCCTGCCGAAGTTACGAAGGTTCTCACCTATAAGGCAGGCGGAGACGTCAGTGCGTAAACTACTAGGTGACAATTGCGAATTTAGTCGGAGGGAACCCGCGTAGTTGGGGCTGCTACGTTGGGGCTCCTCTCCTCCTGCTCTTGGGCAGAAGGACAGACTAGCCTGCGCATTTCCTGCCGCGAACTTCTCATAGTTCTATTGCTCCATCGGAGGCGACCGTAGGGGTTATGGAGTACCGTGTAAGCGGGCTTTTGGAGATAAGATATTGTGTGAGCCCCCACCTAGCTCAGGTCTACGCACAGTTAAACGGGCCCTTCTGTCCTTCATTTCGTTGTTGGCGGCGCGCATATAACGGCAGCGTCTGCCCCAGAAGCACATCAAGAGCAACTAGCTCGCTTGTCTCTCAAACGGAGACAAATGATGGGGCGGTCCACCATCCCCACCCCATCGCACTGCATGGACCCTGTGGTCATCACATCATCACCACCGCCTACTCCACAATATGAGATGTAGAGCAGTCTATCAGCCGACCACTATATTCTCGTTGCCGTGCAGAAGAAGCCCCTCTTCTCGGTTTATAGCAGGTCGAGCTCCTCTCTATCCCACTGCCTCCATAAACTTGAATCGTCAACTTCCTCCTCACTCTGCACTGGACGGTGGTCCTTCTCAAACGCTGTGTGGGTCTGAACGCCATCTTCTGGCCCCGCCTGAGTTTCTGGGGCGCCTTGATCCTGACTGAATAGGCCGCGGAAGGATAGTAAAGGCGAACCTCTGGGTTGCGAAGATGGTTTCAGCTGTGCGCTTGTGCTGCTGTTCTGCTGTTGTCGCTGAACGGTGCCGTGATGCATCGGGGGATTCTTGACCAATCCCTCGGTTAGGGGAGGAGTGTCTTCGATGCCAAAGAGAAACAGAGGGTTTCGTGAAGTCTCGTTTAAAGCCGCAATGATGTCCCCGATATCCTGTTCGAAGCCGCTCGCGTCGATGATCGGTTTGAACATTTCTCCGATGGCCCGCACTGCAGGCATCAGGGGAGCGATGAAACTCCACGGGTCCCCGCTAACCCCTGAATTTTCTTCATGAGGAGGGGTCAGTTTGCCTGACTGTGCAGTGGGAGGACTGGAAAGCCCTCCAAAGGGTCCTTCCGGGGACTGCCTGCCGTGGTCCTTTCCGCCTTCAAATTCCGCTGCAGACAAGCATAACAGGAGAACTCAATCACGTAACATATATCTCTACATCGCAACAATTGCATTCCAGCATAACAATGAACAACAAGTTCAATACAGCGATTAACCCTGTCTTGCAACAGCACTAACGCTGGACACACCCAATCGTCGCCGTGATATCAGCGGCATCCGACAAGGTTGCACTCTACAGTCCCAATAAAATTCGATAAGCGCCTCCCTCTACCGGCATCAAGGCTTAAACTTCTCCCGTGAACAAGTACAGTGTCTGACACACGCATGTCCATGGAGCCTGCCCCTGTGAAATAACCCATTGGGGCATGACAATACCCGCAGAATAGGCTGATGTGATACTTACATGCAAGTGCTCTGGGAGCCGCCAACGGAACTGCAGCAGCCAACAGGAAGGCGATCCATAGCCGCCGCATCCTCAACCTCCATAACGACGCCCTTGGAGGGCTGATCAGACAGTATAGGCACCCCAAGGTAGCCAGATCCTACTAAGCACCTAATATTACTTCCCCAAACCCAAGCAGCTTGCCGATAGAGTGCCTCAAGTCAACGGAGCCCACTACAAGGGACGCCGCAGGACTACGCGAACGTAAGGCGCAGTTCGTCCCCAAGGAACGTCCAATTAAGGGAACTTGAAGCAGCTTCAAAAACATAAAACAATGTTCCCTTGTCCTACATGAATGCGTAGGTCTTAGTTTCCTCAACGGTCACGCAAGCGCTATGCAGGCTTCCCCCACGCGGCTCCTTTAGTGGTTTGTTGGCCTTCCCAGTAACACTTAGCACCACTCCAGTACTTTCTCCACTTCCCCTAAATATGTATTTTATATTGTCCTAATTACATACTTTCTAAGCTCTAGGTGATCTCGGCCACTACATACAATCCTCCTGCAACCCCGGCCGCCGGCAGAACGCGATGCCCGGTGCTCAACGAGTACTGGGAGTGCAGTCATCAGATGAGCCATAAAGCAGGCAGCTCCAACCCATCTACTACCCTAAGCAGCCCATCCATTAAATTACTAGCACATGTATTAATAAAACATGGTGATTCGCTCGGTTCATTCGTGCAAAGGATCGCACTGCTGTTGATGCCCCTGGGACATCGGCGTGCAAGCAGTAGCCAGCAAGCGATCACCGCTCGATGTTGAACGGTCTCATCCACGTGGACAAGACATAACTTCTTACAGTTATATTTAAATACTGCATAAATTGGAGCCATGCCGATCGAAGGAATAGCACACACGAGGGAGTACCAAAAGTGGCGGTTGGCGCGTGGTGTACGGGGGCACATGAGGCCTGACGCTTCACTAGTAGACAAACTCTTTGCTTGCAAAAGTTCTCAGCAAGTGTACACAGTGCTCACTCACACAGATAAGAATGCTTGTTTGCGGGTGTATGTGGCGATGGCCTGCACCTTGAGTTGCAGCAAGGCGCATTGCAACTCATAGCAACCGCTTCATCTCCCGAAACTGCAAGAACATGAACCGCTGAACTCTGGATGCCTAGAGGCTTGGGTAACACGTTAGTTGCATTTGATGAACTTTCGTTTTCAGTTTTGTGACGCCACTGCACCTTACAATACTTCTAGGATACGGTTCACGACCGACGTTACACTGGGGCTCGCGTTGAGGCTCGGATATGTGATCATTCGTGAGTAGCAGTGTGCCTTCGTTCAGCTCCTGCTACGAGATAACTTCCTCTGCAAGCTTACCCAGTTTTCTGCATGCACTGTCACTTTATGAACGTTACACACTTGCTTTCAGCAGCCAACCGGCACCCAACTGGAAATAGGTACACGTGTGTAAGGCAGTTCTTGGAACTGCGTTCCAAGAACTGCGTTACAAGCTGCAAAGGCTCTGCAGGAAACTGTGGAAAAATGCATACACTCCGTCGTGGTGGTATTGTGACGGCCACGCTTTGCGAGGTTTCTGTCGAGTTGATTGTTGGAGAACAGCAAATTAGAGGAAGCGTTCTCACTTGCATAACATGGGCTGCATTGAGTGTCCTCCGGGGTTCCAGCCCGTAAGACACTCAATACAACCCATCAAACGTATCCCCCGAGCATCGCCAAACTTTGTTCCAAGGTACATGCAACACCCATATCATTGCACGGCTGCGTCAACGGCAAACATCTCAGCAAAATCATGAAAACGACCCCTTGCGTCCAGGTTAAAATAAGTAAAGGGGTGTTGTCCATACCTGCACTTGCATGTTAGGTACACGTGAATGCCCTTTTCGCTGGTCAATGCATCTACAGAATTGCAGGTGCAGGCTAAGCACAACGTCTTCAGTCACTGCAGAGAGCGTTACACGAAAACATTGAGGAGGTTATCATATTCAGCAGGAATCAGCACGAACTCGCACTACGATGTAACTCGACAGTCCTGGATCTTATCCTACGTGTACTCTGAAGTGCAGTGGATTTAAAATGCATAAAGTGAAAGCTCCATAAACGAACTTGACCTCCCTTCCGATTGTATAGAGTCATTGATGCAAGGAATCTAGGGCTTGGCCCTGTGGGGAAGGCAGCGGCTTACCAGGAGTCGCGACGCACGCTACGGCATCTCATTGTACAAGATAGTCCCATTTACAAGGACAAACAAGCCGCCTCAGATCGACTTAAATTCACTGTAAGGAATCGCTGAGAACATTTCCTTATCGTGAATCTACTGTGCTGCCTTGAGACAGACATCCGGCAGCTGGACACACTGTCCTACAGACGAAGTGTCGTGCAACTGCTTAACGAGATGCAGGGGTTTCTGCAAGCACTAATATGTTTGTTTTCTATGCAAGCCATTAGTTTCATAGGGTTGTGTTCATCTCCAGATGGGGATGAAGCAGATCCATGGCGAAGATATCGTCCGTCCCGAGGATTCGCTATCTTCGTACATTTGGAAAGAAGTACCGGCTACGAGAGAAGGAGCCCAACGCAGTTTAGGCATGTGTGGCTCTGTTGAATCGAGCTTGCAGAGTGGATATTGGAACCGTTAGCCACTGTGGGGAGATGCAACATACACGCCAACTAAGTTGAGAAGGTTCAACCTACATGCCTAGTTCTTTTTGCAGACTCTGCTCCTACGCCAGCCAGAAATGGCAAACACAGCATGACAGTCGGTCGACAAACTGGAGTAAAATGCAGACTCAGTGAAGGCGTAATGTGACGAATACGGGTTGCGAAGAATGATTTCAGAGGCAGTTATATAAAGGGCTTAACCGTGGATGCTGACTCTATTCAAGGTCCACAATACTCAAGCACTTTGCTTCGCAGTCGCACGTATTTACTGTATTTCTACATTATTCCTTGATAAAAAGCATTCTTTTTATTCTTTTAATACTCACAACACAGTAGTTTAGGCCAACCTCAACAGCGGACAATACAAATGTCCGCTGTTGAAGTTGGCCTAAACTACTGTGTTGTGATTCGTACGATTTATCACAAGTAGGTAGGCATATCTATATTTGTGTCCGTATTGCCTACTTCAAGCCAACTGCATGTTTGGAGGGAACAACAACTGTGACAATAGCGGCTTCTGGGGGCCGCTGCTGCTGGCCGCCCCACTCCACCACGGCTTCCAGACGGCGAACAGTGGTTGCGGTGCTAAGCCAAAAGTTTGCAGGTCGTTTTTGGGGATCTCCTTTGAAAGCGTTGTGCTATCCTCCGAAAATGGCAGGTGGGTCGGCAACTGCGGCGGCAGCCAACAGTGTTCTTTCCAGACGCTCGAGGTCTACCAAGTGTGCTGTGGGGATGTCGTGTTTTCGACAGAGTGGCGTGTTTCCGTGCATTTTGTTCCCAAGTAATAGCACTTTGTGGGTAAATCTGTTTATTCATTTGGTGATTGCGCCTACTATTTGGAAGACTTAGGGACGTGCGCTGGTAGACGCCGAGCTGTTGTAATCAGGCGGCTGGGGTGTGAGGCAACGGCTCAGTCCCAGTTCTTTCGGATGCTCTCCCAGCGAGAAATCTGGCTCTTTGTTTTCCGGTGCACATGCTGCATGCATCTTCGTCTGGGGATCATGTTTCTTCTACTGGTTCCTCTTCCTACAGTGCTCCTGGCAGGTGCCCTGTGGGGACTTCATCTGCCTTGAAGTTTTGCTGAGAGTTCTGTTTTCTGTTTTGTTTGGTTTAGAGCGCGGTGGTTTCGGACGTGGCTTTGGACGTGGTGGACCTAGGGGTAGGGGCAGGGGACGCGGCCGTGGTCGCGGACGTGGTTCAGCCGAAGATGATCTGAAAGACTGGGTGCCTATTACCAAGCTTGGCCGTCTTGTCCGTGCTGGAAAGATCGCCTCCATTGAGGAAGTGTACCTTCATTCGCTTCCTGTCAAGGAATTCCAGGTACGTGCTCTTTGCTTGCCCTGTTCACATGAGCTCGCGTTGGCGGTGTTTGGATAGGACCTGTGTGTTCTTCGGTCGCTTCTTACGCGCGCACATGATGACAAACGTATTCCCCTTCCAGAGTACTGACGGAGGAATTTGTCCAATTGCTATCTGATGCGCGCTTGTGTCCGAAGCCTGTCTTGGATGGATGGGCATTTTTGCTGGCCCGTCCAGCCGGTACAAACCTTGTATCGTTCCGTTTCTTATGAATGTGGACTAGAACGTTATGTGCTGTAGGGTGCATATTTATGTTTACGCCCTGTTGCCTATTGGATGCGCAGATCATCGATCATTTCTTCCTTCCCGAAGCCACCTCCCGCCCACTCAAGGATGAAGTGATGAAAATCATGCCCGTTCAGAAGCAGACCCGCGCCGGACAGAGAACTCGTTTCAAGGCATTCGTCGCTATCGGTGACAGTAATGGGCACTGTGGTTTGGGAGTAAAGTGTGCAAAGGAAGTGGCTAGCGCGATCCGCGGTGCTATTATCGCTGCCAAATTGAGCCTTATTCCTGTCAGGTATGCTGTTCTGTCTTGCTCGCCATGAATTAGGCACGCTGATGCATCACCTTGTTGCCTATACACATACACACACACACACAAGTACATCAACCAGGCAACAAGGTGATTTATCAGCGTGCCTAATTCGTGTATGTGTATGTATTTGCCACTGCGCAGGCGTGGCTACTGGGGCAACAAGATCGGTGACCCTCATACTGTGCCCATGAAGGTATCAGGGAAGTGCGGTTCTGTACGGGTTCGTCTTATCCCTGCTCCCCGCGGTACACACATTGTAGGTGCTCCCACAACCAAGAAGATCCTGGCGTTTGCCGGCATTAAGGATTGCTTTTCCAATTCAAATGGTTCGACAAAGACCAGAGGCAACTTCATGAAGGTACGGGCTATTCAAGGAACGACAGCCCACTTAGTTTTTTGCAGTGGGTTTCTTGCTCCATGTGAATGAAGATTGCGTTGTGGCTTTGTGAGTGCAGGCTCTCTTCGATGCTTTGAAACAGACGTACGGGTACCTGACCCCTGACTTGTGGAAGCCTAGACTGTATACGAAGTCGCCGTTCCAGGAATGGTCTGACTTCCTTTCTAGCACAAAGAATGCTCTCGTTGCCGCTTAAGATCATAAACTGTTTCGCGGCACCCGGGGCAGCGAAGGGGCCCAGTAACGAGCTTCCGTCCCTTGCGAAAGTTTCCTAGTTTCGAACCAATCTGAATAGCGAATTTCGTGGGGCGGTCCACACCTGTGTTCGCAGTGCAGTGACCTTATGGGGATGTCGACTAACCCTGTGCTACTAGGTGCACTGACATTCGAGTTGCTTTAGAATTCGCTGTTCTAATAACAAACTGTTTAAACCGATAGGTGTGTAAGATGTTAACTAGTATGATCAAACAGGTGAAGCACAGGTAGAACAACCCAGAGCAGAAGGCTAGGATGCAGAGTTCGGCGTTGGGCTCACAGGGGTTGTTTAGGGCTCCATGCGTCGTGCTACATTTCCAATAGGATGCTGAGGAGCAGGCTATCTAAGTTTGTGGCATTCGTTGTGAGTATATTCGAGAAAGCTGACGGTGGCCCCCGGATTTCGGCATTTCGCCAGTCACTCCACACGAATTTCTCAAGTTTGTTGGAAGTGACCGTGGAACTGAGGGAAGCACGCGCCTCTGTACTTACACCGAAACGCCATGAAAGCTACTGCCACACTAGTCAGTCAAGTGTATTTTTCTCCTGCGGTGTGTTCCAGAGGCCTCATTTATGCCTCACAAAATATCATACTTGCTTCTTGTTCGTTGCTTTCCACACCCTCTGAAGATGGTGAAGGCAGCAAGCGTGTTACTCCTTCCCCTCGTGGCCGGCCACGTTTCGGCCGTGTCAATGGAGCACGAACACACCGCGCAACGGCTTCATCACCATTCGTCTCGCCTGGGAAGTGAGATATGTTTGACGTGAAAAGAGAAGATTGCAGCATTGAACACGAGTCGCGCAGGATATGTTGGCACGTTTTTGGAGCTTCTCAACCCGGTGCCACAACTTTCAAAAGACCCGGAGAGGCTGCTCACGGAAGAACAACGCTCATTTCTTGAAACTACAGCTGGTAAAGTACTTCCTGTCGTTAGGCGTTCGTTCTACGTATTAATGATCATGTTCCAGATCCTCGCAATGCGTACCTGGTTTGGCAAGGAGCAATGAAAGTCGCAAAGGAAGCTGGAACTCACGCAGAATACGTGAATCCTGAAGTGTTACTGCCACGGGCACTGCATCAAATTGTGAGTGGCATTACCTCTGCAAAGGTTGAATTCCGCTTTCATCATTATCTTCTGTAGGAATCGGCCACCCGCGCAGGCAAGTAACGAAATACCGTTAACCGGAGGGCAAGTAACAGCTCTTGGGCTACAGAACAGTCCGGCGACTTCCAACGGGCTCGCGACCTTCGCCAGGAAGCAGCAGTGGATATGTCGTTGGCAATGAAAACTATGGGGTAGGCAGTTCGAACCACTTGTGATCGTCGCTTGTTTTACAAAGCATCACGCCACAGGAACCTGCTTGGCATTGAAAATCAGGATAAGTTCTGGAAGAGATGCATTGCTAATGTAAGGATAACGCTGCTAGGTACTGAAAACAGCAATTTACTTGGGAGTTCCCTGTAGGGAAAGTCGATGTGGAATGGTCGTGAGGATAGCGTGAGCAAGCGGAGCTTGTCCTTACTGGAAACCGTTGAATCGCTGTAAGCCTTATTCATTGACTAATTGATCGCCAACATTTATGAAAAGTTACAATTAGCTTCCACGGGGCCGGAGCTCGTCTCCTTCAAACTCGAAGCCAGCGCGAACAAGTCAAAAGGAAAATAGACAAGATTGCAGCTGTGCACACTAAAATCGACGAGCTTCGCGGGCATTCGCCTGATACGGAGGAGTTCCGAACAGCTCTTGGAAATGTGTCGCAACTGCTACAGGAGGCCGAGCAGGTGCGTACGGTTTTTGCTGAATATTTCCTGACGAAATCCAACGGGAACTCCCTCAGGTAGCGGCGTAAGCACTATCTTCGGCAACAGCTGCGGCAGTGCGAAGTGGCATCTTTCCCTAAACTCGATGTGCACCCGTCCATAATACTTTTTTTCTTTCAAAGTGCACACAGTCTAATCTGTCACCGTGCTCAGTAACGCACATGAAATGATAGGTTGTAGCCAGTGATTTGAATACCTACAAATCTGTCCATTTCTATTAGGGGTAAATAAGCTTTATCAGCAGCTGTGCTTCCAGCAATGTCCAGACTGTCATCTTAGCACTGAAAAACAAAAGGTCTTTTTATAACAAACATTGATACATCATTTCAAGGAACAGAAAAAGCAAGACATAGTTACATTATCGTCTTAGTTATTTCTCCGCAGGAACGAAGACCCATGAGAGATTCTCTCTAATCACTGGGCAATAACCCCTGTACATATTATATATGGGCGCTTTTGATCACGAAAATTCAGGTGGTGTAACATCCACCACTGGGACTTCATCATCTTCCTCTGCCTCTTCACTTGTATAACCGCCTGAAACACCTGAAAGACGAACAACGCAGTATACAAACCGACAAGTTCGAACATACACAACGAAAAATGGAGGCTCATACATAATGCCTTACGACGTAGAATGGACTTACACATAGCGTCGTAGATGAGTACACTACCATCGAATGCACCTGAATACGCTTCGTTCTTCTCGTCGTTCCACGTGACGCAAATAATATCATCACTGTGGCCGGGAGAAGTTAACTGTAGTTCTGCTCCCGACATGATATCGAATGTGCAAAGAACCCTGCCCCTGCCGTGGATTAGATACTCGCCGCTTTTTGACATGGCCGCTTGAACACTCCATATCGAACCAAATCTGTTGGTTGTCGTGTTCGATTTCTCTGGTCGCGATGGTATACCTGATATTCGACTGCGGTTCGAATCTTGGAATGAAGCATGCACGGAAGTACTGCGGGGGATGTTCAGAATCATGTGAACAAAGCAGTGGCTGCCATTCAAAGCATTCCACAATCTTACGCGCCCATCACTTCCTGATGAAACAAGGTAGGTGCCGTCAGGGCTTGGTATGAGGCATGTCACTGCTCCATCGTGCGCAGATACCTTCGACCACACATTTTGGCCCTGGAGAATGCTCGCTGGCCCTGTGCACAATGAATCTGTCAATCTGTTTCCAAATCTATGGAAGAGTCCGCATGTGCCTTCTCGTGAAAATGCAGGTGCACTTTTTGGCGGGCTTCCGACGCCACAAAAAAGCTGGCCTGATTCAACGGCAGCACTCGGGGAGTTGCGGTAGCTAGATGGTGTATCGGCCAAGCCTGATACGCTTTGTCCACTTCTGTCAAAACGCATGGGGTCACAGTGATGAGCGCGCTTGCCTACCGCATGCTGTGCGACCACAGGGACTTTAAGTGCAACATTTCCTTCGAAACCAGGCACCGTTTCTGGACCTAACGGGCTGCAGACACCCGAACAAGTCAGTTCTGCTCCACCTCTTTGGCTTGGCTCTAGTTGCGGGGACGCCGTGCCGATGGGACCCTGGGAAAATGGGATCTGCACAGGAAAATTAACGCTTTCTGAATGTACTCGGGTGGGGGAATCCGAACGAACCAGCCGACATTTAGGTGGAGAAACGGTTGTAGCAGGATGAAGTCGTTTCTTTGGCTTCGTGTTACTTATGCAGTTGCTTTTCGACAAAATTGGTTCCCTCAGACAATCGAGATTACCAGGGGCTTCACCATACGTCGTGCCTCCAGTGTTACTCAGGCCGAATACACGGAGATTGTCTTTCTTCAGCAACGCTGCCGATGTTCTCTTCCCCCGTTCCCGTGCTTGCACGGTACCTTCCATTAGCCCTATTGATGGAACATATTCTGGAGATACACAGTCGGACTGTTCGTCGCTGAGGGAGCCACGCATCCCCGCTGTTGTACTGGATGGGAATCGATACTGCTGTGGAGCTTTTTCCTCTACCTTCGTTCGCTTGCTTCCACGACCCAAATTTGGCATCGTACCAGCCGAATTCTGGTTGCGTTTCCGTGGGAGAACCGGAACCTGGAGGTGGGGCGTTTTGAAGTGACTAACCCCGGAAGTAACCAAGGAAAAGCCCAGACCTGCAGATGATGACCTAGGTAAGGGAAACACAGGTTCTTGGGCGAAAGCAGCATCGGCCGCTGCCCTTGCCACAATGTCTAACGTGGCCCCTTGATCACTGGAAGTACTCTGAACGGCTTGCTTAAGCTCCGTAGTTTCCACAGTTACGTAAGGCAAAGCCGGCGCAGGGGAGCACCTTCCACCCACAACATCATAAGTATGCAGTAATTGACGAAATGCTGCTGACTGCGAGCACCGATTGCCTGCCACATATATATAGCACAAACCCACGTGCCCTAGGTCAAGTAAAGGCGCCAAAATAGATGCCTGCCCATCAATGTCCGTGCAGACTAGGCTACAAAGCCACATTGATGATTTACGCGTGCATGCTCTTACTTTAATGCACACAGCAAGCACAGCCTCTCCCTGCACGGCAACGGTGCACTAAGTTCTCTAAGCGAAGGGAGGAGCACCCTAAGACAGCGGAATCTCGTTGCGTTGTAGGATGACCTAGGCGTTTTGAGCAATCACAGCTTACGGAAGAATTCTATATCTGGCTTGCATTTATCAAATATCAACATACAGGCATCACTCCGCCGGATGTCCCATTTCCTAATCGCTCTGCGGACACATAAGCGGCAGTTCCAAAGCTAGTCAACTGTGCGAATACATTCTAGGCTGGTGTATTTACTAACTTGTCAGAAGAACCTGAAAATAACTGAGATGGACATGCCGGATCCCACGCTACGGATAACACCGCGCCTGCAAGACAAGAGCAAACAGGCCCTTCATTTAAAAATATGTGCTCTCCGTATCAAACGACACAATGTATCAATGCAGAACACGCATTCAAGATTACTGCAGAGGTTAGTGTAACGGGTTTTCCTATGGACAAGATCAAACAGTTCGGTAAGGAGCCATAGAAAAGCGTGCAACCCACCGTTATGGCCGAGTAGAGTTTGCTGGGCAACTCCGCACCTCATGTCAAATATGCGAACACTGCCATCTTCGCAGCCTGTGGCAAGTGGAAGATGTGCCGGAGATTCTACAGAATTCTCCACTGAATCCGTTGAGCTAAATGCAGCCTTTGACTGGAATCCAACTCGCTCGAATGCACAGCACAATATGGGACTATCGACGGCGATGTCGAGAACGCAGTCCCATGCCTGTGTATCCCATATCTGATCATTAAGCAAGGTAAGACAAAGTCCAGTGCGTTTATGCATGGCAGAAAAACGGAATCGCATTGGGGCTAGAGGCGAACGCATAAAGGCTAATGCAGCGCGTTAGTGCTTGCAACTACTTGGACCATTCCACTCGACTTGAAGGAGGGGAGGTTCACAATAGCAGTACATTAAGAATGCAACTAGTGATAACAGGAATAACGTTTAAAAGCACCTTCAGAAGCTTGTCGAGTCCAGTAGATGCGAACATCCCGTTATCTCCTGGCATGAACTCGACACTTGTGACAGACCGTGAATGGCCTGCTTGAGCCCTCCTTATGCCGACAAAGTTTTCACTTGACGCTAGACTGTTCCCTGCAACGCTGCTTATTGTGCGTCCCTTTGTAACTCTTCTTCCAGATGCTGGTTGGAAGCGCAGAGGAAGCAAGTTGCGTTTGGGAGGCCTGTAGGCACGAGATCAACACGTGGGCGGGCTAAAGTCGGTGTTGATACGCAATCCGCTGTTAGAGATTAATGCGAGCAGTTCCCCTGCTCTCTCCACTACACCCACCTATCAGGTCTCCTCTGCACGTAGCCAATGGGGTACACCTTTGGCTCAGGACCAAAACCTCCATTCAAGTTCCATGCCGCGTCTGCTTCCAGGTCGTACAGAGCAATGCTGCCATCCCTGCTGCTACTAAGCAAGTATCGTCTGCATCGCACGGGTCGGAGATGACCTCATTCACCTAGAACTCTAGGAAAGGCCTTACGCAGGGCGATTCGTTGTGCGTGAATGAGAAGGGCTGATCCGCAAAATAGTGTAGTGTATGCATTGCGAGCAGTGCCGCTTGCCTTGTGCAGTCTAAAGAGAGACGGGTAACAGCAGCTGAGTGGAAACGGGAAACAACACGATTTGGGGCTAAAGACAGGGACTGCACGGCTTCCGCCTACAAAAACAGCAACAGAAACCGCAGGTCTGCTGGACATGTAAGAATAGCATGAAGCCAGTGGACACGTAAGAATAGCATGAAGCCAGTCCTTCAACATTTCAATAGTGTCACGTCTCCTATCTCTTTGCACATTCAATCCAGTGTTCGTAAGTAAGAACTGCAGGTTAAGACGCTTGCCTCGCGGGACCGCTGCAGCTCCTGCAGGTCCTCTAGCCGGCGAACGGCGAAACGTCTGTAATCGACGAAAACATTGCCGGTGAGCCTGGATCCCCGCATACCCCAAGAAGGACTTGTTAAGGCATGATTTGGAAGCCTCGGTGAATTTAGATTTAAGCTCGTTTCTGCGAAAGTATAGGGAGGCAAGTGCCTTGCACGTCCGGTCGGCATCCAGAACTGAAGACTGGGAACAGCTGCTGCTTCCACATCTGAAACCAGTCTACATCCAATTTTATGTATGTGCTTCTGTTTCCTCCGCGGTAAGCCTTGTTCAACTGAACGGCTGTCAGTATTCAGCGGCATCATCCCTTCTATTCAAGGTGTGCACATTTGGTAAGATAGCGCGGCGTTCAGAAACTAGGCGAGGGCGGCATCTCAGAGGTTTGCCAAAGAGTTCGCTTCAAGTGCAGAAGAAGTCGGTTATAGTACCACGCCGTCTGAATGTGAGGACATACCGACTAACAGAGCATTGCAACAGTGGCGTTGATTGGTGAAATTGGTTAGCGGACAAACGCATTGCCTTCTAAGCAAAAAACGTACAATTTACGCTTATTTGTGAATGGAAAGCATTTGAAACATTCTACGGGAAAACTTAGTTGTATCTGGTGACCTGGAGCTTGAAACTGTATACTTCGATCGACATAAACCGAGTGCTCTCGCCAGGGGCTTTACAACCCTCTTGCAACTAGTGGCCAACGATGACACACAAGGAGTATTTCATTTTACATTGACGTGCGAATTCATTTTGTACGCGGAACGTGTTCTCATTCTTGCCTAACTGTGCTCTACGGATATTTTCTAAACACACGACACGAGCTTTCGCTGGTGAGGGACAGGTAAGCTGATATATGCACTGCTGGGTCTATGCGAGCACGACGCCCGAGTGGCTTTTGCTAACGAATCTAAACTATTCGGAAGGTGTTGCTGAAATATACTGTCGGCCTGACGTGATTTTCCCCACGCGTCTGTCGAATTGTCGGAGCCGCAGGTAGCCGTTAATGTGTGCGGAGTGTCTGTGTACGCGCATCCCTGTCAGGAGAACTACTGTGAATTACGCCTCCAGTTTTTGAGTACAGCTCGCTTGGCTGTGGTTCCGCTTTCCAGCCATGCTAGGGCTGCCTGCAGAGGTATGGTTGATCCCCCGCGCACCACACGGCAAAAAGAGAAGCCAATATTACCCCTGCTGATATGAATTCAACGCAGTACAGTTCCTTTATATTCTCCTGCACGTGCAAAGGAAGCTTGAATGCGCTCGATCGGGGGCGAATTCTCCCCTTGCGCAACACCAATACTTCCACTTCACGGGCCTTGACGGAATGCATGCTAAAGTGACAGAAGGCAATTGAAACTGAGATACGGCAGCTACCCCAAAGCAGTCAAAGTTCGCCCAGTCAGGGATGCAGTTTTTATCCACTAAAGATCTAACCTACTGACAAATGAAGCCACCTAACAACGAACTTAGTGGTCAGAAGCTCTACTGCAGCGCTAAACAGTTGTCCAGGGCCAACAGCATCTCTCAGCTGACAAGCTCTATTCCAAATGCTTGTTGGACGCAACTAGGGCGTGTTGAAGCCCTTACTAGCTTACGTGTGCTCATGCATTTATATGCACAACTCGCTAGGTATCCCACCTATAGTTTCCTTGTTCCTGACTATCCGTAGCTTACTGCAACCCGTGTTCAAGGGTAACACATATGCACTCCACTGCTGCGCAAGGATTAAATGAAATTCTTTGCTTTGCCATCCCCTTCTGGGCAACATTAAGTCTTCAACGCACTGAACCATAGTAAATGACTCTTGGGCGCGATGCTGCGAGAAAAGCCGCGACTTCGCTGGCCCCCTACCCGAAGGTCCTTGAGTCGTCGCAGATCCAAACGTATGGGTCAGTATTCTCGAGTTACCGGCCCTTATTGTGTTGTGCACACCCGTGGAGAATATCCCGACGCAGTTTGGTGGTACTGCTTCACTAGTGTTGAAGAATTCAGCACCCAACTGTTTGCATCGTAATTGCCCTGGGTAAGCAGCCCAGCTACTCTACTCAACAGGGCGATGCGCTAGCATCATTTATATAGTAAATAGATTATAAAGGAGACATAACAGTTCATACCGCGTCATGGATCAACCCCTCGTTCCGCGTAATTGCGCAGGATAGAGACTTTTTTTGGGCCGATCACGGTGTCCACGTCCAGAACTTTCCCACTGATAAATGCAAGGACTCCATCCTTGTTCGCCATGTAATCTTTCTTGATTATTTCAATGTCCGCCTTTGTCCTATCTGCGAGCTCGTTAGTCAGGGAATCGTCCTGACCGAGGCGCTGAGGAAGGGCAAAGCCGCAGATGCAACACACCGGCGGAAACATGGCTCCATAATCCGTTTACGGCTCCGTAGGTTTGGGGGGAAGAAGCGGGGTGGGATGGGGGGCAAGGGTGAGGTCGACTCCGAACTGCTATGCACCTGCATTGCACAATCTAAAACTATGTAACTGCTGTCTAACCTGTTCAACTTCGACTTTGAACCTTTCCTCCTCCTTCAGGCGAAATGCTTTGAGTTCTTCCTCTGCGGATGCGCGAGCGTCCTTCAACATCTTGACACGGTCTGCAGGGGAGTGCCACACCACAATTGCCGCTTGGCGTAAACGGCACAAACCGTTCTCCAGCCTTGGCGCAGACTCTATAGGCTGGACAGCGGGATGTCAAGTACAGGGGATATATTCCAATATTCCTGTCAATCAGAAACTGCTGCACCTCCACTGAATAAGCCATTTGATTTTATTCAGCAGGGCTGACGATGAAACAAGTTCAGAGCAGCTCACTTTCTCTTGCCTTGTGCACAATCTGCTCGGCTTCCTCCTCTGCCCTGAGCAGTTGTTGGATCAAAGCGTTTGAAGTCTTCATGTTCTGCAGGCGGTGGCACCGAAGACGAGGGCTGAGGAATCGAAAAACGACACAAACCCGAAGGGTGCCATAGTCGGACATCCACAGTGACGCGGTAGCTCTAAATGCTCTTTTAGGGAAAGCAGTGGGAGGAGGACTCAAGGGGGGGACGCATTTGAGAACTTCAATGCAAACCTGCCGTGAACTCCAAAGTGTCCTCCAAGGAAGAGCCCGAAAGCTCTACGATTTCATCGGTTGCTGCAAAACAAAATCCTAGAATAAGCAGTGTACTGCTTGGGTATTTCGCTTGGAACGGAATTCAGAGACCGGAAGGGGTTTGCAGTCCCTTAGACCTCCCGTCGAAGTGATCCAGTGGTAAGATTGAAAGAATGATGGCCGCTGGGTTCGCAAAAAGCCACTATTCCCTATACGTTTCCACAATTCTTTTTTATTTTTCAACACTTGGAGCCCCTTTTAATGAGAGTCAGCTGCCACCGCTGCGTTCCTCCCAGGATGGCGTCACAACAGCTACCCTAGCCACCCTTGTACGCAGAAATATCAGTTTAATTGAGATGTGAAACACCGTACTTTCCGCGAATAACATAAAACCATTTCAACGTTCCATTGAAAACCGGTAGGAACTCGGGCGTACCGGATGTGCCGTATCCACACGTTGCGTTCTTGCGAGCGCATGCATGCATTTGTGGGCTCCCAGTATGCAGTGATGCGCTAGATGCTCTTTAGACTATGATATACTGTATCAAATTGCTCTGTATTCATTTTAAATGCATTTGATGCTTTCCGTATTGCCTCCGCCCTAGGTCCTCTTCAATGTCTGAAACTCTTTAACTAGTTGCGCTTGGTATTCAAGGGCTAAGTGAGGTCGTCTAAGACCATTTATTCAGCACAGAATAACATGATGATGCCTCTACGTGGGGGAGGACTATTGCCGTTGCAGTGACATATCCTGGAAGACGTACTGCGTGAAAGCTCATTAACGACCGGCAACTGCTTCCAGCAGTAATGCAGCCGTACTAGGGGAAGACGCTGTTTAGCTGGTGGACAAACCGTACAATGGCCCTAAATGAGGGGCTTGCATTTTCTAGCGGCAGTGTGACGACTGACGCCACCTCTGCCCCGGGAGACTGCTTGCGAGGCCTCAGCGACTCCAGCGTTGGGCATCTCATCGAGCCCCTGAACTTCCAAGGGGTACGTACAAGTTTGGGTAGTGGAGGGCCCTCTAATGGTGCAGACGGCGGCAACGAAGCACCCTTTCTCTATCGCCTATCTGAACAGGTCGCTGCATTGGCTGCTCTCCTCCGACCAACTCGAACTAATAGTGAGAGAGTCCCGCAACAGTTGCCTTCAGGTGGAAACACCTTACTGCCTATTCAGCAGGCAGGGCATCCCCTGAAATACCTGACTTTGGCATCAGGGTTGTTGACTTGCATTTGGGGTTGGCGCGCGGGGCGGTCGATAGAACGTGTAGTTGCGCGGCGCTATGCAGACATTGCCTACCAAATTCGTCGGCCAGATGCTTTAAGCGCTCGCATCAGTGCCTTCAAGTTCCTTGTTTTGGGTGGGCTTGTGCTGCCGGGATCAGCTGTTGCATTTGCGAGCCTGCAAATGGAGGCTACACATCCAGCTGGCAAGGCAGGTGACTCCCAAGCGACTCAGGAGGAGCCGGACACACAGTCGAATGCCTCTATCCGCAGGCGGGCTGTCCTTGCAGAAATTGTCCCTGTCAGCTTACAAGTGGACATGCGCCGGCTGGTGAGTTCGGCGGATGATATAGGCCTAACTGTCTCCCCCGCTTGAGAGTTCTTGTGCATCGTATCCAGAGTAGCACTCTTTGCGTTCATCTGACTAGTGCTCCCGCCTGTGTGTACTTCAATCCTCAGGTTGCGGCATTCCATGCAGGCCTCTCAGAGTTCGTTGAGGCTGTCGCCCCGTCCAGACAGAAGTGGGTGCAGTGGGCAGCGGGAGTGCGAACCTCTCAGATTGCTGGGCTACAACGGCCGTCAGCCCTAAGCTCCCGCATAGCCACATGGGATAGCTGCGATGGAAGTGATTGAACCGAGGCATTTATGTTGCGCATCCCATGTACTACAGCGAACCTGCCATTTGTGCAGTCACTGCTAACTACCGAGCGCAGGCCGTCTCTTCGTGCTCGTTCTCTGTGGAACTGGCGAATCGCCAGTTTCAACTGGCTTTTCGCGTCCACCTTGAACACACCGGGATACATAGTGATTAGAGGCTTCCCAACGACAACCTGGCAGACAGGCATGTAGCGGGTGCCCACATTTGTGGCGCAGCAGCTTTCCGTGCTCCTGGAGTGGCATTAATGTTGGCAGGATTAGCCCCCGCTGTATATGAAGAGATGTATTAATTGTTCATACATATGGGTTTACTAGAGGACAGTGCATGCATAAACTTGTACGGATCGCGTCGTTCCCGCCACATTCCGAACCTTGAACTGTGGCCGCATCTGCGGGGGGAATATGATGAAAGTGAAGGGGACGTGCCACTTAACACGTACGTACTTCCCTGATGGAACGATTTGGTTCCTCTTCAAATGCTATCACTGCAAGCTTTCCCCATTAATCAGGCTACAACCGGAGGGTTACACTGCTTGCAGCTCTCCCTGAGTGACGCCGGTTCTCTCCTAGCAAACTTCGACATTTCCGAGACAAGTAGGAACGCGACAGCAAAAGTGCATTCAACGACTACTAATAGGCATCAATGCACTTTGAGTATAAAAAGAGCAAGTGGCTGACTGCACGGGCGAGTCCTAACGGTCGTCCAAGCTGCATGCAACGGGAGCCCCAAGGCAGAGGAGTGCCTCGTCTGAAGAAATCTTCCACAGTAGCTTCACATTTGTAAATCTTGTAATATTTAGGTGAATATGAGCCGCAGAGGACGGCAGGTATAACTAGCCTTCGATGGAAATCCAGCATAGTGTCGGCCAACGCACCACACCTCTTCATTTCTTGTGGTTGGCACTGCAGCATTCAAATAAAGATGAGCTGCTCTTCATAGAATATATGTTGGGCTTTTAGCTGTATGGCTGCTATGAACTGGAGTGCGTGGTCGTTAGCTGCCGATCTGGCCCTTCCTATTCTTTCGCAGAGAACAGAGTCATCCTCGCCGGCCAATCGTCAGATGGCTCTTGGAGCTGCGTGCGTCAAGACTGGATGTTAGATAGGCAAACTAACCTTTTTGCCTGTGCCACTACCGTCGGGGGAGGCCTATCATTCCTTTGCTGCAGCACCAGTCGACACCTGTGTTGCCTGCCGCGGGTCTGGCTAGTCGATGACTAGATAACAGCTCAGAGGTTTGTCGTGTTCCCCTTACTTGTGTTTTTGGGGATGTCTAGGACTAAGACAGAGCCGGCATCTCCTATGATAGTCGATGCTTGTGGGGCATCTGAAGGTACACCCGTCTCTGCAGCCTCCGGCACCTCAAGACAGCGAGCACTCTCCATCAGGAAGTCTTGTTTGGGTGGCAATACCTGTGGGATGCCACGGCAGGGAAAGATCGATGCAGCGAAGCATGAAGCAGCAAAACAGCGACAGGGAAAACTGCCTGCGGTATCAGGGGCTGCTGCAGGCAGCGGGTCGTTGCAGTCGCTGAGCCGGCGGCGCTCTCGAGGCGGTTCAGTGACGTTTGCTGCTGACGAGCCGACACCATGCGTGGCAGCATCAACTGCATCGCGAGCGTCTTCTCCTACAAATGACAGCAACCGCTGCAAAAGAATTTCCACAGGGCTGAAGAACTCTCCGCTTCCCGCTGGGACCTCCATGAGCAAAGAGGAGTGGCCAACATTGCCGGCAGCGGCACCACAGTCATCTGCGGGCACACCCACAACTTCACTGCGCGTCAGCCACCGAAACTGGCAAAGTAATTGCATGCTATTGTACAGGCATATCATGTCACATATCTTGGAGTGGCCAACGCTGTCTGTCCAGTGGCTCCACTCCTGCAATCCGTAAGTATTTCTCGCTTTTCCATTCGACCGCAACGTGCACTGCCCTCCCTTTCCACGAGCACAATGTGGGGCTGTCGCAGCATGCATATTCTCGTTCATGTGGAAACTGGCCGGTTGTCCGGAACGAAATATTCACGCAGAGCTTATATGCGCATTATTTTACAGGCGCGCAAATGGAGAAATAGGTCAGACATTGCTTCTGTCGACACATACAAGTGGCGGGGCCGCGAACTATTTGTTACTTATGGAGGTGAGATGGCGTTGCTTGAACCTACCGGAGAACCACCGCAGCCCCTAGCCGGTCCTCAATCTACTATGGTGGGTTGCCCCCATGATGTTTACTGCGGGTCTTTTTTGCGTTGCAGGTTAGCTTGCCGTCTGAACCTATTGACGCCTCCGGCCTCCATTACGAACAAAGACAAGGCAAGCTTGACGTATTACTTTCCTAGAACTGGACTGTGCTTTTGCATCAATTCTCAAAAGACCTTAGAGGTAGCGAGCGCTGTAGGCTGTCCCAGTGCAGGATGCGACTCTCTGAAAGTGAACTGTTTCTGTCTAACAGACTACCAAGGATTTGAATTTGGCGATGAGGACACCCGAAAGTTCACCATTACCGCCCGGATTCCGCATGAAGGCGAGAGCAACAGGTATTGTTTCTGTGGACTCTTTAGACGGCCCTCAGTAGACCTAAACTGCGGCATCTCAACGTAGGGCGGTTTTACGTTTAATTGACTGCTGCATTAGTTGGTTTTCAATACGCATGTTCATTTGCCTTGGTCCTTTATATGGTACTTTACAGGGCTCGCGTTTACCATGGTAACGACACACTTATAGCAAGCAAGGCAAACGATGGCTGCGGTAAGTGGCATTGCCTGCTGTCGCAGGCTGCTCGGGAGATCCGCACCTTTCACTTCGCGCTGCTACTTCAATCAGCACATGCTGTGATTTTGAGCATTCTCTTTCTCGCAAAGGAGCGACTCCAAGGGGCACGGTAGTTTATTTTGTTACGTACTGGTGTGCAGTTTATCTGTTTGATTCGTGCAAATTCGGCCCTGCGCTGTGCATATCCGACTCCGAGTCCGAGGACAGCCAATGCGCCTCACAGCGTAGCCAGATGGCCACCGATGCGGAGCTCATTCTGACGGGGCATACGACTCAAGGGTGAGAGGCGCGTTCGAGAACAGCCGGCAGGTGGGAGGGTGGTTGAGAGTAGGTTCTGGGTAACAAGGTTTAGAGTGCATCGTGCATTCTCTGCAGATGGGGCCTGGAGTGGAGTCCAACAAGAGACGGGTGGCTCGCTTCTTCCGGGGACGATGGCCTTGTCTGTATTTGGGACACGCGGGCATCTTGTGAGTTGTGCTTTGTGTTGTTCCATGTGGCTGCGTAAAATTTGAATTGGTCTGCCACCTTCGGGACGGGTGAAGATGCATTGCAACCGATCCGGTGCATCACCCTTATTTCGGGTTGCACGTCCAGATACAAATTGAAGTAGACATATTTAATAAATATTTAGTATATTCAGTATTAGACGCGTATGGCTGGACTTGACGGTTATTATCGGTTTGCGTTTCATGTGGAGCAGGTGGCAAAGGTAAATCCATAAGTCCTCTACACCGGTTGGTGGGATCAAGTAATCGCAGTGCCCTGCAGGTATGCAGCGAACTCTCATGCGGGAAAAGCTGCTTCCACTTTTGACGTTTCCACTGAGTGGCTTTGCATGCAGGGGAAACTGGGGAAGAAAGTGCACTTATCAGCGAGATATTCACATGTGAGGGCCGTTGTGCGCAGGACGTGGCGTGGAAGCGCGGACATGATGCGGGAGAGGTAATTGTGGCTGTAGGTGACGATGGGGAGTTGAACATGTAAGTTGGCTGTGAAGGCCCTCAGCACCCAGTTTTTCTTCCTTCCATATACCGTAGCATCTGGAGATGCCTTGCAACTCCATGCGAGTTTCAACTTTTTGCTGCGCGTTGTTTCAAGGTGGGACTTGCGGGCGGGCGCCTTGCCGGTTCATCGGGTGCGTATTCTTTGAGCAAGGCCAGCAAGTCAACGATGCAACCGTGTAGAAGCATAAACTGTTTCTGTAGACAGTTTCGAGCTGCGCACGTCAGCATATTTGCAGTTCGAGCAGGCGTTTGGAGAGGAATTCTACTGTGTTCCCCCCTGCTGTCTTTTACAGCAACCCTGCAACCATTCGTGCGCTAACGTTTTGGCACTGAACCCCATGGCTCCGAACGTGTTCGCCACTGGAGGAGCTGACGCGGTCCGTAAGATTGGCTTCTATAAAAAATTAAGTCTTGTGCTTACGCCGCTTACAAAAGTTGCGCCAACCGCAGCAAAAGCAATAAGACAGCCGACTATGCTCGACATATATAGGTGCAGTAGGCGTCGCTGATTATGCTGTTTGCAGGGCGTGAGTGTGTGGGACTTCCGAGACTTACGCCGGCCAGCCCACCGACTGCTCTACATAGAGAACGAAGCTCTAACAAGTCTCAAGTGGCATCCACAAAACAAGGCAGTGCTTGCTGCAGGTACGCTTAGGCTCAGTGTTTTTCTCACATGTGCCAGTGGGTGCAGCAAACTGCAATGTGCAGCTGTGAGCTGCCTTTCCTATCGACGACGTTTGTTCTGATTGCAGGCACGACTGACCGCTTCGTTCGGATTTTTGACTGCTCGTTGATTGGCGCTGAGCAATCTCCAGAGGAAGCGGAGGAAGGCGCACCTGAAGTAATATTTGTCCACGGGGGCCATGTTGCGGGTATTACGGAGATCGATTGGAACCCGTTGGGTGACAAATTTCCATGGGTGAGAAAAGAGTTGAGCCTTCCGAGCTCTTCCATTTGCCCCACATGGACCAGCGTGCGAATTGATTTTGATAGGTGTGGCATTTCTGTTGGCCCTACAGGTTATTGCATCTGCATCTGAGGATAATGTTCTTCAGATATGGCAGCCGGTAAGAGGAAGAGTGTAGAACGAGTCGAACACTTCGCGGAGGACGACGGCTTCGCAACACCCACCTTAAATTGCCTCAGAACGCCCATTTATGCCGCATACATCAACTGGAGCACGAAGTACTGAATATCATTGGTTATATGTGAACTGGGAAGCTCTCCTTTTCCGTGTTCGGCATTTGCTGCAGTCTGTGAAGGCTTTCGAGGCGGAGGAGGCAGACTTCATATGCGACGAAGGGAGCATGGATGAGGAATTGCTTGATTAGACTCCACCACGTTTCTCTCCTCCCAAATGCCTTTCGAAATGCAGCGTTGCTATGGAGCATATTAGATTAGTACCCCGCATTGCGGTTCAACAGAGAAAAGCTGCATAGCCGAGCATGCCAGCTGCACATGAGGCTGGAGGCCTAGTGCTATCCAAAGTCCAACCGCCGCTGCTATAGGCCACTGCTCCCTTCCAGTTAGCGCCACTCAGTGGCCAAGGGACTAACTGAATCTGGGCTGGGCTGGGGTGTAAGCAACTGCGCTTCATTCAAGAGTTCAGTTCGCATGCCGGCCACGGTGCCGCCGCAGCAGGTAAAATGTCTCAGCCCTTGGCCCCCGCAGGCAATTTTTTGCAAAACCTGCATCCGAAGGTCTGCCCTCAGCAGCCCAGATACTAGGAAATTTGGACTTTCAGAGGTCTGCGCAGTGTGGAGGCCAAATACAGTCCGCCTAATTTTAGGCATGCATGAATGACGTGGCACGGCGCACTAGTTAGGCGGAACCGACTGCCTTGATGCTCAAGTTTCGGGACGTCTGCGCAAGAAGGAATCAACCCAGACCGCCTCCTGCGGGAAACGAGCAAATGACAGCAACGCCTCGGGCAGCAAAGGTGCTAAGGAAATGCAATATCTGTTTCGTTTGCTAGTGTGCATATCTGCCTGCGTAGCCTATCGTGCCCCTTCCCCAATTCCCCTAATTGCCATGGGCTTCGTTTCAGGAGACACATATAACAGGATTTAAAATATTGCTAACCGCTAGCAGGCTTTGCCCCTTTTCGTGCCTCAGTGGTATACCTTCATTGGGTCTCCTCTCGTTGTGGGCTCTGCAGATTGCCATCCGGCCTCGGCGTCCATATCCAGTTCGGCGTGCCTGGTAGCTGAAGGGAGTGCTCGCCTCCAGCCGCTCTTGAGAGCTGTCTCCTCAGGCTCCCGAGTCCGTTTGTTGTTGCCTGGTTCCATAGAGCCGTTGTTCGTGTAACGGCTGTTTGGGGAAGTCAGCGACGCAGGGGGAACTCCTCCACGCGCCGAGCTGACAGGGGGCTCTCTCGTAGCTCTCTGGTTGCCGGGACGAATGGGGGAGCGGTTCCTCCTGCCACTGGCAGGCGCACCTTTTTGTTGACCCCTTGGTCTGGCATCCTCGTCACCTACAGGTGGCTTCCGACATCGAGGCGCTGCGCCGAGGTCTTCTGTCTGCACGACAGGTGAAGCGCCATGCGAAGAGCCTCGAGCACGTAGTGAATGGGGAGAATGCATCGACGCGTGAGGCGTCTGTAATTCTCGCAGAGCGCCAAGCAGACCAGAGTCGGCTGGAGCATGAAGGGTATCTCCGGCAGTTCCCACGAGTTGTCCCGCCTCCCAACTGGGCCTCACCAGACCTATTTGGGGTTGCGGATATTGTTGTTGAATTAACTGCGTCAAGTGAGCCTGAACGCGAAGCGCGAAAAACAAGAATGGGGTGGGATGGTGGGAGTGGATTACAGATTTCCAGCATTTCCGAATGCGGCAGAGCAGGCCCCGGTGATAGCTGTGGGGTGACACCATTGATTGGAGATTGGCGCCTCACGAGTTTGTTGCACTTGTCAGCGATGAAGCTGAGGCTTTCTTTGTAGGTGGCGATGTTGGCGTCAATGGACGAGGGTGGCAGCTGTTGCTGTGCACGCTCAACTATACCAAAAGTTGGGTCCTCGCGAATTTTTTCAAGGGCCCTTACCCTTTCAGTCGCCAGAAGGAGCCGCTGCTGCTTGTTCAACAGCTCAGCCGACAACTGCAATCGCCAAGTGGCACACGACCACAACACTTAATATGCACCCTAGTGTTTGCATGGTTGCGCTGACTAGCTGGTTGATCGACACATCTCTACTTTCGCCTGTGCATAACAGTTATCCACTGCTTTGCATTGCTTGACTGTAACACTGCTCAGCGTGCTGTACAGCCGCACACACAGTGGGGGTCAGGTTCACGTAAGATTAAGGGTTCTTCTGCCTCTTGGTGTTGTGCTGGCTTACGCTCCTGGCTTCTGCAACAATGGACTCTTCTTCGTGGTGCGCTTGGCTTGCCTCTTCGCGTAATCGAGCGACTTCTGCTCTGAGACCTTCAATTGCAGTCTTCGTTTCCGCTTTGTTGTCCATGCGAAAGCAACGTGGCAACAACACAACAGCTCAGCGAGTCCAGCTACGCACTATACAGACATTTGACAGCAAACGTACTGAGTAAACCGACATGCTAGGGAGTCAAAATGCAGCTCACCACTAGCAGTGGCGGCACCTGAAGCAATTCGATTCAATCCAGCGCTCGTCGCCTCCGCACTGCCACATGTACATTGGTAGCTACGCGAAAGGACTTGCCACCGGTCGAGCCACATCTGAGGACAGGCCAAGTCATACCCAAATCGCTACGAGCTTGCGGGAACAGAAACATAATCTTCCAAAGGCAAGAATACCTCCCTCGTTGCTACGGAGGGGACGTGTTATGCTGAACACCCACTTCTTACGGGCAATGGGGAACAGCAGATGCAGCATGAGTACAACAGGGAAGGCAACGAACCTCAAATACAGCCAAGCGACGTTCGTGTACGCTCAAAAATGCCACTGCCTGCAGTGCCGGATGCTTGAGAAGCTGCTGGGTCAAATCCTCCGGGGCCTCCGAGGCGTTGCTGCCGTCTTGCCCTGCAGCAACTGCACCGCTCGCAGCCGAAGCCTTGACCGTTTGAATAAGATGGCCAACTTCTTCCTTGATTGCCATTTTCGCCCCTGCGCGCAGCTTCTCCAGCAAGGCGTAGGTCATCTCTGAGGGGCCTCCGAGGGCCCGCGAAAGACAGAACGCGCAGCAAGCATTCACGGAAGAGCAGAATGCTTCGCCTGCCCTTAGGGCTGCCCAGTCACAGCTGAAAGACCCGTCAGCCTGCCAGAACGACGACTTTGACTCGTCTTGTTGTGGCAACAACGGGGGCCAGCGGACATCCTTTGACAATGAAAGCAGCCCAACAGCCGAATATAATGCATTTTGGGTTTCTGCACCCTTGGCATGCAGGTCTTTCTGTTCACTAAGTGCCTCAAAAGTAGCAAGAGGCCGTTGGGGTTCCCCCACAGACAAACAAACCCTTGTGGAACAGTGACCCGGTAGACGTGCTGGGCCCGTACCCACATGTTTGTCAGCAGCGGACTCTGGGACTGAGGGGATAGTTGCCATCGTAGACACACCCCTCTCTCTTAACTTAGTACGTTGGTGAAGCCAAATATATCGGGCCAAGACGGCTCTATGCAAAGCTCAAACTCTTGTCCATGCGAACGATATTGTGGCAGGCCTGTCTTCATTCCATTGCATCATTCTGCTGGCTTTGAAAAGGCTATCCTCTGGCCATGTGCCGTGCGTATAAGAGTAGAGTGCGTCAAGCAATCCCTTGCTCTTGTTGCCTCTCCAACCCGCAGTAAGACCGACAAACAAGAAAAGCCCGGGGATACGAGGGCCGAGCGAATTGTGCGCACGGAAGCACGTATTTATAATAAAGTGCGAAAGATATGAATGGTTTAAAGATGAAATTTGCATCAACAGCGGAGTTGCAAGTAGACAATTCTGCGCCAGCCCGGTGCTGGGGCCCCCTTCGCACTTCCCCCCCCCTCCACTCCCGTTGGGAACGGAGGCTGGGGTCTGCTAACGGCAGCTCCGCTTTTTAATGCCTAGATGGCTATTGCAAAGTATGTATTTTCAAGGGATTAATTTTTGTACAGATGAAAAGGGTGGAGACCCTTAGCGACAAAGGGCAGCCAGCCCTTACCCACCACCCATCCGAAGCAGCAACCCTACGTGGCTCAAGGTCAGGTGTTGCTAGCTGAGGCTTGGGAGGGGCCCAGGGCCCTGTGGCCAAAGGCGCAACATAGGCTTGCTTCTGAATTTGGGTTTATCTTGCAAAAAGACACATGCAAACTTGCTTGTATCTAGGAATATATATGGGTAGAGGGAAGGGTACGGCGCCGAAGCACAGCTCACCGGAGTGAGAAGTCAACCGGCTTCTGCCAGTCCACAAGGCCCTGGCCCATTGGTTCACATACATTTCACCTCCGATTTTGATGCTCCATAACCTCGTACATCGAATCCTGTAAGTTTCAGGATTTATATGTGTATTTTTGTGAGTAGACTGGAAGGCGTTTCCCATGGGCTGTTGTTCGTAGTGGTAGCGGTCGCGTGCATTAGTGTTTGACTTAACGAGGCACTGAGGTCATGCGGCACATTTCTGTTTTCGATGGCTATAACAGGCATTTTCCATTGTGACTTGGCCTCGCAGAAGATTGAAGTCGCCATAAAAACCTATCTTAGCTTGCACGAGCGCTATGCCCCCCCCCTAAGATTCCGATCAAACATCCACCTCGTAAATGAGAACTTGCGTGCTTAGAACATTTTCTCCAAATTTTTCATTGAAAGGGGGGCCGGTGTCTCGCATATCTGTCTAGAACTCCCCAAGCTGTCATGGGGAGCCCTCCGAAATACTTGCAGATGGTTCCTCATCCTTCTGCGGGCAAAACATCGCACGCAAGTTCCCCGTGATACGTCTTTGCTCGCAGAACGTGGCGTTGAATAACACAAGTGGAGGAGTCTCTAGTTCTCAACGCGCAACACGGCTATAGGCAAAGAAAGTTCCCCTCCTTTCCAGGGCTTGTACGACACGCGTTAACGGTCTCAAGTGAAGATGGGGGAGGCTGCAGAGAGAATACATATAAAGAATTGTTACGGTAAGTCCTGTGTACGATAATGGTAAATGGGATGTGACCTCACCCACAGGATCTCAAGAGGTAATTCCCCTTAATTTCCCGTTTGCCAGTTTTAGAAATGTTTGCTAGCATGAAACCGTTTCCTCAACACCCGCGGTCGGTGGTTTTCTCTCTCTTTCCCTTTTTGCGTCTCAGCTGAACCATGGAAGGTCCCGTACTCGGATATTCGCTTGGCGAGCAAGCAGACGGAGTCAGTCGGAATGGCGTGCAGCTATCGATATGTTGCTGTGAGTTGCGGCAGTTCGACAATTGACTGTTATTACCCCTGCCCTCCTGCTTATATCTGAAAACGGTTTGGTTAAGTTACATGACACATAAAGGTTGTGGAATTAAGTGTTGTTTTGATGCCAAGCATAAGCAGTCCCAGAATGTGCCCTTACAGAACTTAACAGGCATAGCGTTAACCCTCTGCTAATGCAGGTCACTGCGTTTTACACTAATAAGTCCCTGTGTACTGTGCATTGTATATTGGTTATAGGCCCCATGGGACGTTGGTGGGGGAGGCATGATGGGCCTGATTAATCTGGCGGACTGTGGCAGGAATCCTCCAGTGACTAAGATAAAGGGACACACAGGATCTATACAAGACCTTGCATTCAGCCCTTTCTATGAGTCGATTCTTGCCTCTGGATCAGAGGGTCCGCGATATACCCTGAAGGACTACTTATAACTCATGCTATATCCACTACATTCTTTCACAATTTGGGGTTTTCATCTACAGGGGATTTTCTCAAGGATGTACTTGAATTGCAGGGCTGTTGAGCTTCTGCACTTCGCTTACCAGAGGCCTCCAGAGTTTATATTGGGAGTTGGGGGTTGTTACTGCGTACTTGTTGTTCTTTTGAGGAATGTCCATCTAGCCACGTTGTTCAAGCTTGGTTTACGTGCAGACATGACGATCCGTATTTGGGACGTCCCTAGCGATCCGCCTCCTGGGCACGAGCTAAAGGACCCCGTGGCCATACTGACGGGGTCTGCGAAGAAGGTCATCGCTACAGAATGGAATCCTGTAGCGGATTTTATTCTTGCATCGGGATGCTTTGACGGAGCCGTTGCACTGTGGTAAGTAGTGGCCGAAACTTGCAGCGTTTTGTCCCAGTACAGCGAAACAACTGGATCTGCCAGCCGTGAAATGCTACATTTTGGTGAAATAGTTGGTGAACAACTACTGCCGAAGCCCCACCTTTCCCAGCTATTTTGATGGAAAGTCATTACGTGATGCTCTAACCACAACCGCATATTTCAACACGGCGCATTCATTATTCGTCTTCGGCAAAGAATAGAGTCTAAGCACTCTGGCAGCAAGGCGTTTGCTTGCACGTGTGGTTCTGAATGTCTCAGGGACGTTGACTCGGCTTCCTTAGTCAGTTCAATCCAACTGAGCGACTCAGTTCTATCTGTTAAGTGGAGTAACTGCGGGTCAGGCTTCTGTCTAGCAGCTAGTCTGGATTACCTGAGGAAAACTTTTCTGTCTTGATAGACCGATGTCGTGTGGATATTCCGCGTGGCGTGGCAGGTGCCTTTATAGCTTTTACGCTCATTTTGCAGTGTGCGTGTTAAACAGAGACACGTTGGCTACTACAAGCAAAGACAAGGCTCTTAGCATAATTGACCCGAGAGCAAAGAACATTGTGGCCTCTGTCAACTGCCACGAAGGCCCGAAAGCAACAAAATGCTGTTGGATCGACGGGTTTGCGGGGGCTGCTGGTCACGTGCTCACTACTGGCTCTAGCAAGACAAACGTCAGGGAATTGCATCTCTGGGACATCAAGAATATAGCCAAGCCGTAAGAGGAGGACGTGCATTATTAATGGTGCAGTGAAAAAACTCATGTGCCGTCACTCGCACTTACTTCGCTTGCGTTCTTGGCATTCCTGTGTTGCTTCATGGGTTTTCTGCAATTCAAAATGAAATTAAAGGGCCTTTGACTGTGCTCATCGCTGTCTACATATTACAGGATGAGGGAAGTAGATGGACAGTTTGTGCTGTTTTGGCCATCATCAGGCTTCTTCGCCTGGAAATCGACCGCGGTTCGCAGCCATTATATCCTATCTTCGACGAAACCCTCGGGATGCTCTATGTAGCAGGCAAGGTGGGAAAGCTGCTTTTTTTACTGAAGTCTGCCGTAGTTTGAATAAAGTATGCATTCTGTGCTCGCAAAACCCGTGTTCTCTCGTGGGGCAACAGTTTTCTCCGATTACTATGTAGCGTTGTGCTGCCAACTATTTCAGCTCCGTGAAAGTAACAACTTCCGTACTTCTCACGCATTTGCAGGGGGACGGAAACCTACGGTACTTCCAGTTCTTTGCAGGAGAACTTCGCCGCGTTGATGAATACCGGTCGAATGTCCCCATTAAGTCTTTCTGCTTCATTCCAAAGCTGTAGGCAAAGTGTTAGCTCTCTCCTTAGTGGTGCTGCAGCTACTCCTTTTCCCGGAGCATTTCCAACTGTGACTAGAGATGTGGACTGGCCCACAGAGCTCTGGCTACACAGACATTTCAGTACACACGGGGGAAACAGGAGGCCACCGTGCTCATCCGGCAATATCAGTGTTAGCCATCACTCGCAGTGTGCGAACTGGTGTGTTATTGAAGAGCCGTCGACCAAAAACGAGCGGAGATAGGGAGAATGCTCAAGAACGAGAATGGAAAGGTCCTTCTTCCCGTTTCATTCATTGTTCCCCGGAAGAACATGGACGTGTTTCAGGCGGACCTCTACCCTCCTACTCCTGGCGTCGATGCAGCCCTGGTAAGTTGTATCACAACGCTGGAGAAGCAGAAGCAAAGCTTCACTGGGGCGGACCAACGAAGTATCACATCTCCTACGTAGTGGAAGGACCCGGTGGAGTTTAGGTGGCTTTTGGACAATACCGTCAGTGCCGGATGGCAGCTGTCGCTCGTTATGGATTCGCAGACTGCGGCTCAGTGGCTGTCGGGGGAAAATGGAGAGGTCAAACGCATAGCTCACCAGCCGGGTAGGTATCCCTGTGGGGTTGGGTGCCGTGTTTCTTCCTAACCTGCTTTTCTTTAAAGTTTAGTAGTTGCTCACGCTGGGAAGCTGATAGCCCTTGCACCTTCAGAGCACACGACGTGACTCTTGGCTTCTCAGGAAACATTCCGCAGTTCAAGGGGGCTGCCAAAAGCCAAGTAACTCAAACAGGAGGAGTTCGAAGGCTTGAATCTGTCAGGAGCGTCTCCGGGCAGGCACCGTCTGTGTTGCAAAAGACTGTAGAGAAGGCTCAAGACGAGACAAAAAGAGTGAGCAGTTTTCCACCAATTGAGGTGCAACCAGCATTTCTGTGCCTCCTCGGTGACGATGAGGTCAGGAGAGCGACTCCGCCAGCTTTGATATTTCACTTCCTAAATGCTCTTAGCCCAAGGGATAGAGCAATGAAACTATTTGGCGCTTAATTCACTGGATGCTGAGTCCTTGTGGTTCTGGGGGGCAGCTCGACGCTGTCAACAAGTCGCAGGAAACGCACATTCACCAACTGGAGGCCCGTATCAAGGAACTCGAGCCTGTAAGGCATTGACATACCTGGCCGTTTTCAAACCGCTCATCGTATTTTTTCTACTTTACTTCTTTAACAGCAAATTTTATGTAGGGTATTTCTCAGCGAGTATGTTCAGGATATTGGTGGTGTCCAGCCGTTTGTCTGTGTGTGTCTCAGCTAGAGGAGAAGGTGAAGCAGCAGGAGGCCAAAATCAAAGTTCTTGAGGTGAATATTGCATTTTTGCAAGCTGGCTCAAAATACCGCAGTGCTCTGAATGAGAAACAAAACATTTGCACCAGAGTGTCTCCTGACTAGGTTTGCGTTCTACGGTTGGCTAAATGTCCTGTGGGTGGCTTCCCATGGTGGGTTCCCGAGGTGGGGTGGTACCTGCTCAGTGTTGCTGAAAGAAGGGCAACGGTTGGGGCCCGAAGTGACGCATCATCAAATCTACATGCTGGGTGTCTTGCGATTCAGAGACAGTTACAAGAATCAGCAAAACAGAGTTCCAGCAACAGCGTAAGGGTGTAACCGTGATGGCCATTTCTGGCTATGCCCCATTTAAGCTTTCAAGTCTGCATCCAGTGTTAGATTGGTTTTCACTAAGATGCATGAGGTTGAAAGGGCTATCCACAAGCGACGAGCGCGTATGCTGTTCATTGCTTGCCATATGCAGTCTGGGGAGCTGGAGGAAAAGATTAAACACCTCGAAGCCGATAATGTATCCCTCCGTGCTCAGCTCGAAGACAGCGCTTCGAAAGTTGTTCAGGCTTTGAAAGAAAGTAAGGCCAAAGATGCGGAACTGCAGAAGCTTCGTAGTCAACTGCAAGCGTCGGAAAAACAACTGACGGAACTGAGCAGCAACATGGCAAGGGCCGAGGGCACATTGCATCGAGCCGCTACTTTGTCGGGATTGGATGAAGGTGTTCGCCAGGAGTTTAATGAGGTATGCGCTCTGCGCCTTTCCAGCGAGTTGCAGTAGGCAAGGCTAATTCAGCAAGTGTTATGCTTTGCTTTACATGCTGATCTAATGTAACTTGTGGTGAGATGAATTGCTGCAGATGAGGGACTTCTTCCGGGAAATTCTAGACGGGACACTCGTGGAACTCAACAAAGAGTGACATGTAGCACCCGCCGTGAGCACCGGTTTACAGCCACTTCTTGGTGACAAGGAGTGCACCCCAAAGCATGCAGTGACCCACTATGTCACTTCATGCTTCCACTTAGTCGAGCGTCCTTGTGGCTGTGTCATCGTGCCTGACAATTTGAACGGGTTGTTTGGTCAGACGCGCAAATCACACGGCTGAATCAGGAACTAGGGCATGCCTCTTGTTGAAACACTCTCTTCCTGAGGCGGGTGCACCATGCCTTCTGCACGCTTTCCCCGAAGCCTTTGTAGATACTTGAACTGATGCGTCCGTTTCAAGTGAGCGTGGCTTGTGGTATAACATGACATACAGCAGCACACATTTGACCACCGGCTTTGGTCTGGTCAGTTCCGGCGCACCCCACAAGATTGATAGTCAGCAGGTAACGAAGTGGCCTCCAGCAGCCGGATCATATAGCGTCTCGTTGTTCAGCAACTTATATTTGGTGTCGGACTCGAAGGTGCGTCCCTCCAGGCATACTGATCTTCCTTGTAAATCCGTCCTTTGATCATGCAGAAATACGGAAAAGGGAAAATGGCATCCAAAGGCCAAGAGAGGACCGAAGATTGCGGGTAGAAGTGCCCTACAGCGAGCAGTCGTCCCTCGAGACATGTACTGAGTTTGACTGTTCCAGATGCATATACTGAGACTCGAGGAACCACTAAACACCCTTTTATAATACCTTACTTAGGTTCTTGTAAATGCGGCCCAGAAGAAATCATTTCCACCTCAGCTAATCCATACAAATGTAGCTGACACAATAGCGCACTGAATAGCCGGCTTTCAGTCTCTCACAAATGATGCCCCCTGTTATTTTTTAGAAGGCTGCAGGCGTGCTGTGCATTGGGCTTTGAGGGCAGGCTTGCTCTATTCCTTTGAAGTACGGGCACCGCACAGTATCAGTTGAATGGCTACCATGAGCACTCAAGTGGTTACGTATGTTTCAACAGTCCTCTATAGCCTAAAGCACGGCACACCTCTAATCTTGTAAGTTTCCTGTGAAGGCTTGGAAGGCTGCTAACCCGTTTTCGCTGATTTCCTTACATGGAATAAGCCGTATTGATGGGGGATGAGACAAATCGGCCGCTAATCTTTACGTGATGCGGAAAGTGAAATAAAGAACAGAAAGCATAGTGGAGAATCGCTATAAAGGGCTTATAACTGTCGCCATTATGCGATTGCCCTAAAGTCAGGGCATCACAGAGTATCGGTTAAAATGCACTCGTACTTCTTGCATTCAGACTTTAAAATGACAGTAGTAGAGACTTTCTTGTATTTTTACTTCCTATTTTTATGAGGGTTATCGAGCGTCGGCTCGCCAGTATCTGGCGGAGGTATCTGGGGAGCCCCGTGCCCCTTGATCGATACGGTTCCCTTCCCCAAAATTGCAAGACGTCTAACTCCCCTTGCTTCCGTATTGTCTAGCATTTCTACAACTTATAAGAATGATTAAGAGAGGCCACCACAACTGACCGAGTCGTCATGCTGTTCCAGGTCGGCGACTCCTAGCTGACGTAGCGGACAACGCTACTCTAACATTCGGGAAGACCTCAGCCTCGGCATATATTTACAGAACTGCTCGACCATGGTGAAGCTGCGCACTCTCTTTGTAGGCGTTTAGGCCGACCCCGTATTCTCTCCGGTTCTAATTCGTCAGTGCACGGAGAATCAAAATGAGGCTCCGCGCAGACTGAGGACAAACACCTGCCAAGCTTCCAGGGCTACCTGCACTTCATATGCTGGCGTCGCAGTTTGGCGTGATGAGATTGAGTGCCTATGATACATCTGCGTACCGGCGTCAGCTGTCTAGGGCGTGCAACGGCGAGGGGTTGACTTGTTCGTGCTGAACCAGGAAATGGCGTCCACAAGAAGCCGCCGACTTTGCGCCTGGCGTGCCGGGCTGGTCTGCCTCGCCTTCCAGTTCACTGTGGCTGTCATGCATGCTGCAGAAGACCAAGAGGAGTCTTCGGAGTCAGGCAATTCGAACTTTGACGAAGGGGTGAGCATGGGCTGATATGTTTACCGTGTTGTTGTGCTGCCTCTCCGGCAGTAAGCTGGGGGCGTAGTGTTATGCAGTTGCTGTTAACTTGTGCGTTATTTCGCGGAAAGTATGCGGGAGTCGAGCGTCGACGCTGACATCTACGTGGGTGAAGTGGCAAGCACTTGCGCTTCTGTGTGAGTAAACCCCAAATGAGCTGCTTGTGAAATTACAGGCACCTCACATTGCTCCGCTTTTAACATCAAACCACATGTTGGACCCTCAAAACCGGTTTGGCGAGGCACCTGTGATCGAACTCGGTAAGGCATGGTTGAGTCTTAAGCTCGAAACGTGTCTTCGTGTGCACAATCAGCGCACACATTAGCGCACAAACCTTTCACCGGGATGGCGTTGAATTTAGCAGACTCCAGCTGCTTAATTCGGTGCAGCTGCTAATACCTTTAAAGATTAACTAGAGTTGACATGCTTGCTGACATGTGTGCGCGTGGTTCGCTTGCTACAGTGAATACACTAACTAGCGGTTATGCCTCGCAGGTGGATATTATATAAGAAACGCTGAAACACCATATTCTTGTATCTCTTCCACTTGGTTACCGTGAACTGGTGAGCTGCTGCTGTATGTAGATGCTGTGCTTCATACTGTGGCTCAGCGGATTTAGTGGGGCGCCTTGAGCATGAGGAGAACGAAATGTGGTCGACTGTAGAAAAGGACCACGACCTCATGAAGGAGCTGGTGCAGATACCCATGAATTCGTTGGAGCTCGGAAAACAGCAGACCGATGCGATAGAGCGAGTCATAAACGGACTCAAGAGGAAAATCGCCATGTTTAGGTGGCAGTATCGAGAACTCCTGGAGCTAATAAGCTCCACTGCAATTCAGAACGCGGGTGAGAAAGCATAGCATATTTTGTGTCTTGGGAGCAGTGGATCACCTGGGATCCCAAGAGAGCAGACAACGAAGTCTCAATGAAGCTAAGATCAGACACATTTTGAGTATGGCAAGAGCAGAACAGTGATGCTAAGGAATGAGCAGCGAAGGCCGCTTGAAGCATAGTTACTTCCTGAAGTAAATATGTTTGACAGAAACTAGTATTAAGCCCTTTTAGCTGCGGTGACCTGTCAGACATTAGTACCTTATCACGGCGAGCCTCGCTGCGAAATTTGTGAGGGTGCTGCTGAGTGAAAGCGACGGACCTATGCGCTTTTGATGCTTGATGCAGGGGCCACCAGGGAGCGGCTTGGGAAGCTACGGATGCGGGTGAGTGATGCTGTGCGCATGGTTTCTGTTATTGCACTGGAAGAGTTCGGAGCATTCGCCAGCCGGCTGAAGTCTACTCCTAAAGAGCGAGTCCTGGTGGCTCGCGAGTATGGTGCTGAAATGGCACTTAGTACTCATCGGGTGGAGCTCATGGAAAGAAAGTATAAACAGGTGAGGGCAAGAATGCTATTGAGGAAGTACATCTGGCTTGGAAAGGTTTATCTTGAGCCATGGTGAAGCAAATTCATTGCCACTTCAAGCGGGCAGGGATCCCAGATACCCTAGTTGTCTTCCATACGGCCCCACTTGAAAGTCTGGCACCTTTAGTGGTGCCGTGGGGCTTCCATAAGAGGATGAGTTACCTGCTTGCGACTGGAATGCTGCGCAGCTGTGCGACGCCTATGATAAAATCGTGGAGCGCGTGCAGCACTGGGACAAGGAACTAACCGCCCATTCCATCCGAATGTCGGAAAGGGCTATGGAGGAGATGCGCATTCAGATGGATAGCTATGCAAGTGCTGCGGGGGCTGCCATGTCCGTTAAGGAAACGGAGTTCACGCGGTTTGTGAAGAACTCGAGGATGGAGGAGCTTTACTTCCAGTCAATCATTGAGGACTGCACCGAGCAGCTCAGTTCCAAAGGAGTTGCTGTCATTGATGTTAGTAAAGCAAGGGACCCAACTAATCCGGGAGTCTCCACAGCGGGGGGCTGGATCAGCAAGATAATTGAAGCCATATCTTCACTGAACTCTTCTTGGGCCATGTAAGAAGCCAGCATAAACACTTATTTGCATACCTATGTTGTTTCACCTTTCGCAAAGATTGCGTGGACCCCCTATTTTACGCATTATTGCGGATAAGTAGGGGCACCACATTTTGCAATATTGAGCGAAGTTTTAATTCGCTCAAGAGATGTTTGAGGTTTATTTATAACTGCAGGCGAAAGGCCTTTCCAGTGTGTAGATGCAGATGCACGTTGATCCGGGACTTCACCTGGCCCTCCCATCACAGTTGAAATGCAGCATATTATCTTGGCTGAGCACATGTCCTATGTGTGGTGCTCAGATACCCTGCATTTGTGCATGTGGACGAGCAAGACACGAGGTATCCCGGGGGTTCTGGACGACTGCAGCTTCAGCCGTCAGTGCGGACTATTCAGGCTGCAGTGGAGCCATTGTTTAAGGAGCCTGGCCTATCTCAGTATTCCGTAATTTCAATTAGTCAGTTACTGACGCGCATTGTCGTCGCATCAACCAATGTTGCTGGGATGGCAGTTTCCCCGGTCTCAGTTTTCGCTTCGACTGAGCCCGCCGTTGTGACTTCGGCCAAACATTTTGGTTTTCACTTTACTCGACGCCTGGCACACCTCAAGGCTTCAGATTTCAGCATCACCAGCAATGACCAGAAAGTTCTCATTGCCTATGTCGGCCAAACTCCGCGTGAGTCCACCCCCGACACTTGGGGCCCATGTTGCGGCAATTTGTTCGAGTTGCCCGCTAGACGGCATGTTGACATCTGACAGTGGGTGTTTTCTCCATGTAACCAGGTTTCAGTCGGCTCTATGTAGGCGACAGATAACCCTCTAGGTTTTTCTTCGATGCAACTCTAGCGTCCTTCATGGGTTACTGAAGAAAACGACGTTCACCACAGTGGATATGCGACGCCGCGTGCACCATTTTCATGCTTGTTTGGTGAAGGGCTTCTTTGTTTGTCTTGCAGTGCCCGAATTCAAGGGCAACGAGATGAATTTAGGCTGGCTTTCGCAGTTGGGCACCGCCATCGTTTCGTTTTTATCATTTGACGCAACGGGCCCCTTTGAATTGCTGGAGTTGCGATCGCGAGTTAGGAATGAGATTGCTTACGTGGCAGCAATCGAGCGCAACACAAATACAAGGCTACTCTCTGGGGCCCTGGCCAGCAGTTACGATACACTGTTGGCTGAAGGCGATTCTGACCTCGGATACTTCAAGCTCTTCGAGAGACACAACACAGCAGTTTTTGTGGGAATTACGTCGCTGCCACCTCTACAACTGCCACTGTCTTCCTTTCTAAGGTAATTGGGCTGTGGTCCACACTTATTTGAAAGCAGTTGTTCAGCAGCACTGGTTTGTGACAAATTATATATATATATATATATATGTTGTCTCAGGGCGGCTGCGTTTATTATGAGGATCGAAGTCGCACGCTCTGCGTATGGCCAGCGGGAATATGTGGTGCCCTCGAGAGATACTGTCCTGCAAGCCCTGACGCATCTGTTTCTCTACCCGATGATGGGGGATGCCCAGGCCCTCGTGCGCACACAGCTGAAGCGAGACACTCGGTTTCCCTTCCTTCGCGTTAAGTCAGGCGTTTCGTTGGGCTACCTCATAACATCTCAGCGACGAATTCTGCTTGGCAGAGACCATCTGGCAGACCTCAGGAGTCAGCACGTTAGGAGGAACTCGATGGTGGCAACTCTAACGTCGTACGTATCCACGGACTTCATTCCACAGAATGTGGAATCTCTACGAGGCAAGCTGGATGGCCGCCTGCTCTATGTGCAGATTTGCATTATTGGCGAACAGTGCAACTGACGGTGTGAGGTGGAGGACCGACAAGTGAGACTGCTGTGCATGCGAAGGGCCGTGGCCTGCTGTTGCCAGATCACAGAATGTCGCTTCGAGGGAGTGTACGGTGACCACTAGGCGGTTGAATATACTGATGCCACGGCTGCACTCTTTTGACGCATTGGCTGCTGTAGACAGTGTACACAGCTTACGTGCGGCACTCGCGTTTTTCTACCATATAGCGGGCTTGCTGCTGAGGGTCCGCTAACACTCTGGGACAGTTATTACAAGTAGTAAGCATACTCGTACAAGTGGGGCAGCTTTTGAGGCATCTGGCGTAATCAGTAGCCACAGCTTGCTTGCAGTAGTGGTGTTTTCTATCATTTAAATAGCTTGCTGTTGAGGGTCCGCTAACACTCTGGGACGGCACTACAGTACAAATGATAGAGGGGCTACCACACGCCGGCAGCACAGGAGGTTACGTATGCAGAGGACGCAGTGATGACAGTGCACCAACACGGAACGCAAAATGTGGGCCTCACCGAGCCATTGATTCAGGAAGATAATATTATTGGCCATACGCACCGCCATCTGTAACAGAGCCAAGTTAAACTAACAGCCGAATTAACACAGCTGGAAGGCAAAGGAAGATGGGGGTACCAAGCTCCTCTTTCGTCACACCGCAGTTGCTTTCTTCATCGGAAGCAGAACAGTGCCAACTAAACTACGGATGCACATGTTTTGACTCTGCTGCTGCACGACGGCAAATGTCATGCCTTCCCTTAGAGCTGTTTCTTTGCGAAGTGCTGCCGGCCAGCACTCCTCTATTGACCCTTAGCAGAGCCTACATCTTCAGCATTTGCGCCACGTGACAGCTTTGGTGGGGGCAAATCAGGCTGGGACTGCACACAAATGTTCCATGAGCATTCTAGAGATTCCAGCAGAGTATAGCAGTGCAGTGCACCAGCATATAGCTAACGACAACCTAACAATAGCTCACCTTGCTCGTTTCATTTGGCAATGACGAGTCACCCCGTTGCTTGTCACTACTGTCGCTTCGTCCGCATTGCCCGGCCGTCGGATTTGGCACAGGTACAACACCGGTTGGCGCTGCAACCGTGGGAGTTTTCGCAGGCGCATGTGACTGCTGCTCGTTTTGCAGCTTTCCATGCAGCGCATCCAGAACCACTGCAGCGCACCAGACAGGCGGATACACTGTAGTGGTGGAACCACTTGCATTTTAGCGGAAAGTTCAAGCACTCGCACAATCAAGAGGGAACAGCGCCGACCGCCATTATAAAGGTTATAAAGGGATTGTTCTTCAACGACCACACGGTTGCCGACCTCGGCAAAACCCAACCCTCTCATGAGTTTCTTAGATGTGGCGTACCTTGTGATATGCCCTCCTTTTTCAAAGCATTGGGATACATGTGGTCCAGGACGGCCTTGAGTTTCTGAGAGCAAACACCCGGGCAGTGTTAGACTGGCTTATTGTTCGTCTGTAAACTGGATGCACATGTCCAATGACACAAAAGAAGGCTCCTTCCTCGGTTCACTACGTGGGCGTTCGAAGGCTATTTGCCTCCTGTGCCAGCCACAGCTGGCCTTCACGGTATATCCCCTACCTGCGCTGGTGAAAAAGACCAACACCTAACTTGTTTGGTTGTCTTGTTCCATGCAAGACCTGCACGTAAACCGAAGTGTTGATGCCTTTACTGCTAGCAAGCATGTTCTCCAGCCGCCGGCTTCCATGCTAGTTCGCCTCTTTCTTACTGGAGTGCTCGGCACTGCACAGCTAACATTCTAGAAGACTCCTTGGTAAGAAACACCTTGTCTTCCTGTTTGCTACTGCAATATAGCTTGTTATTCAACTAGCAAGTGATGACCAGTCTAGGCACAGTGGAGATGACCATCAACTTTGGCGTGTAAGGGTGTAGCAGTAGCTCAGGCAAAGATGCTGCGTATACCAACGTCAACATCCACACAATCTGACCTCTGTTCGGCTGTGCGAGGGCACAGCGATTTATGACGTCAATGCACTCCTTTTCGCCGCCATGTTCGATCTCGAAAGCTAGAAACGAGGCCCATGCGTCGCCCAGCGATGGGTCGAGAGTAACACTGCGATTCATCCACTTCCGGGCCTTCGCAATCTTCTGATCCTTCCAGAACAAACGAGCCACCGCGTGGATCACATTCGCGTCGTTCTCGCACTTGGTGAGGGCATCCACTGCCCTATGCGTCTGAAGCATGCACAGGCACACGGTCGAACGGGCAGATACTCAAGCAAGCAGTGGCAACCAGGCCCTCCGGGGAACCTGAGAAACTCCTCGAAATGCAACAGACTTAGCAAACGTTTCATGATTGCCTGTGGCCGTTTCTATCACAATGGATCCACTACCAATCACCGCTAGCAATTTAATGCCACCACACACCAACACGTCACGACTACGATGCGCCCTCCCCTACTTGAGCATTATCATCTTCAAGGAAAATAGCCTCCGCCCAAATGATGCCTGCATTAGGACACGCCTGAATGGCCTTCGATGCAACGTGCTGTGCAACCTCTCGGTTTCCTGACTCGATCTCAACTTGAACGAGCGCCAACCAGAGTTCTGGACTGTTGGGGACCCGTAGTTTAGCTTTTTCCAACACTGCACGGGCCCTGTTCCAGTTCTTCTGGCTCCTCTCGCAATTCACCCAGCACAGCCACAGCGGGACACTACGAGGGCAGCACACAGTGCCCTCACGAAACACGTCAATGGCCTTCGCCAAGTCCCTGTGAGTTGGATGCTCCTCGTGCAGTTGCCCTCGAACCATCCACAGCTTAGCAAAGGTCTGGTGCTGTTTTACTGCCTCATCTGCCAGGGAAATTGCAGCGTCATAGTCACCCAGTTGCCGCTCGAGCTGAACTGACTGCATCCAGACGTTCGCTGTGTTGATGTTTTGCCGGGTGCGTTTGAGGAGCTTCCTTGCACGAGCAAATTCATTGTTTTCCCTCTCCAACTTAACAGCAGCAAGTGAAATTGCCTCGCTGTTTTCGTTGTGGGAAAACGCTTCAGCCAAAATACGGCGTGCAGCGTTGATATCTCCCTTAAGCCACTGCTGCTTTGCTGCCATCAGCCACAAGACATCTGCCTTCGGGCAGCAAGTGACCGCTTTCTGAAGCACCTTTTCTAGAGCCTCTCGCGTGCCATGCTTAGTTTCAAGGTCGGCAAGAGCCAACCATAAACTCTTCTTTGTTTTTAGCCGCTCGAGAGCATGGGTATACAAGGCCCTTGCCACAGTTATCGAGCCCCTGCTGAGGCACTCTTCTGCATCCTCGCTCCAAACGCGCTTTGCATTGATGCCTTCAACTCCAACTTTCATGGTTGCTTTGATAATCGCCTGGGCGGTTGTTAAAAACCCAGAACTCTCAGCTTCTTCTGCCAGTTTCAACCACACATCTCTAGTTTGTGCAACTCCACGGCCAATTAGGTTCTCCACGGCTCTCCCAATAATGACCTGAACCATCTTTTCGTTCCCTTGAGTCTCCTCCAGTTTGCACGCAGCTACCCATATCTCGGGAGATGTCGGGCACTTTTTTCGGGCTTCATTCAGGACTTTCTGAGCTTCTTCGTATGTGCTGAGTCGCGCTAAAGCCAACCACATCTCATGTGACTGCGGGACGCACTCGACTGCCCGAGTAAGCAGAATCCGGGCGTTCCGCTCATCTTCTAAGCTGCACGCTTCTTTCCAAAGCCGGACAGAATTTGGAATAAACTCCAACGCCTTTCGTAGCACTAAACGCCTGTCGTTGAGGTCTTTTTCCCGCGCATAAGCATCAAGCCACAGACGAACCTGTTGCCATGCCACAAGCACACCGGCTGGCAGACCACGGGCATGACCCCCACGTAACTCACACGGAAATGAAGACAGAATACAGGCAGTGAAAGAAATTCATATTTCGGGAAAAAGTGCAAAGGACAGTAAGAGATACAAAGGGTCATAAAGCCAACAAAATGGGCCCACACACTGGTTGTTCAAGCAAAAGAAATCTGAAGCCTACCGAGTGTGGTAGCACAGATACTGCTTTTGCAAGAACTGCCTTCGCATTTCGGGGCTTTTCCAGCCGAGCCGCCTCCAGCCACACGTCTTCGCTTTTCGGGCATCGCTGGCACCCCAGCGATATCAACTCGCGAGCAGTCTGCAGCTTCCCTGGTTCAGCAAAAGAACACACACCGAACACCTCAGTTGTAGGGCGAGAAAGTGGGAACGGCCAATTATGGGAACAACTAAGCGACGCCAATCCAGCAGCCAACAACTAACCGAACCGTACCTGCAAGCTCTTCCAAGCGCGCGGCTGCAATCCACCCCGGTGCATGATTGGGATTGGTAGATATCACCGATTTCAACAAAGTCCTTGCCTTCTTTATGTCCGCAATATCTGCATCACTTTGCAGCTGAGCATAGACAGCACACTCGCCGGAAACATGCTACAAATGCGTCATTTCTGAACCTCCTGGGATGCGCAAGAGTGATTACATGCCCTTGTGGAGCAGCTGCAGCAGCGGTTTCAGTCACGAAAGCCCGCACCTGCATAGAGTTGAGATCTGTAAGGTATCCCTTGGGATCGATAACTGTCTGGCCCGAAATGCTATCCATCACTTTGTCCAGTTTAACAGAAAGCACCGTGCCACGGGCTTCGCCAAGGTCATTTAAAGACGGAGTGCTACTTCCCATTGGGGTTCGCAGACCCAGTGGAGTCTGAATGCCCAAAGGTGTCTGCAGGCCAAGAGGGGTAGACATGCCCCCAGCCATAAGGGGTGTTGCCATCCCAAACCCGATGGGAGTAGCGGATCCTGCGGAAGCAATGGAGTTAGAGAAGGACTCGCGATTGCGAGCTTCTAATATCCCTCTATCTGACGCAGGTGTTAGCATCTGTTGCTTCTTCTGCTTCCGCTTCAATGTATAGTCCCCAATGTCCGGAATCGACTCCCATTCCTCTGCAGCGCCAAAGCAGTGGAGGTATCACGTCAGCATGCTGGCGGGCTTCGAAGCAAGGTACAATCCAGCAATGGAACCCTCTCTAGGCAAGGTGCTAAGTGTGTGTGAATTTTGCTAGTTCCCCAAGTAAGACGTAGGTCAGCGAACTGACCTTGAGTCACAGTGGTAAGCCCCTTTTTGAGGTCTGCAAACTGTTGATGTATTGTTGGTTTCTCCGCGCGCAGCTTTGCGATTTCCTCCTTAAGTCTAGCCTCTCGGCGCGAGCGGCGTCGCCCATCCATCCTCTGGTCTATCGACTCATACACTTCATCAGCCACTCTGTCCTCTTCATCGTACCTGCGCAACAGTAGCAATGACCACTGGCTCTTCAGACGTCACGCGGGAAGCTGGCTGTTCCAGTTGCACACGATCAGTCTCCACCTCCAAAAGAACATTACAGTATCCTTCCAAATGCGTTAAGGGAGGATGCGGCCTATGTTTAACAAAGGCAACTAAATCGGAGGTACATAAATGCAGATCAACATGCCTTACTCTGCGTCATTAAATAAGTTCTCGGCGTAGCCTGTGAAAGGATCGAAGTTGGCGTCGCTCAAATCACTTTTATCTGCCGCTCCCTGGGTGTAGTCAATGGAATCATCGCGACTAACACCCCCAGCAAACCCTGTGGCGCCGCGCCCTCTGCCGGGAATATACCCAGGAGGGGGCTTCCCAAAGAGCCTGAACAACACAATGGGGCGTAAGGTCAAAATGCGGGAACGTGCTGCTACCAGGGTATCGACTGGAAGGCAATCTAACATCGTATACAGATGAGCAGAATGGATTAATGCAGCAATGAACCTCCCCCAATGACAGGACAGCGCTTACTCATTAGCTCGCCTCTGGCTCTCTGCGCGAGAAGCAGCGTCTCGCATTTCTCTAAGCTTTGCATTGGGTACTGTGGGGGCGGGCGCCGTCTCTGCTCGTGTAGAGAAGGGAGTAGCTCCCCGGCCGAGGCCGGGTACATAGTTGGAGAGTGGAGTATCATTCGCTCCTGTGGGAACAAACTTTCGAGCACCCGGAAGCAGCGATCGAGACATTTCTATAAATACGTCAAAAGGCGAATCCGCCCTCCCAGATATCCAGTGATGAAAAAAAGTTCATGCGGAAGTACGAAAGTGGAAAGGTCAGTGAAATTGCGTGTGGACTTCAAATTGAAATCACCAAGAGGATACTGCCGGATTGCACCAAACACTGCTCCATTTGTTTGCAGCTAGAAGCAACGCACGTGGTACCGCAAAGAAGCTGCAATATCCAGATATGCATCCAAAGATGGCAGATTAAGCTACTCCAGATTTCCTTCCGGGCAGCAGCTCGGATGCTGGTGGCGTCCTGAAGGCAGTACGATTCCCAGCAAGGGCCTTACTGCCACAAGTAGAGTAAGGGTGATCAGCACCGTTTGGTACGAAACGCAACTTCAAATCCCTCGGGCTAGATGGACCTTCACAGGTCCAGTTAGGCACAGTGAGATGATACGCAAAGAGGAATTGGCAAATGGAACGCGCCACAGAGGCAGTTGCAGGCGGTGGATGGCCATACAAACGTCTTGTAGACAACAGAAACACTTTCTACGCAGATGCTACCGTGTTTTCACAGGAAGGTGAACATCATCATTACAGGAACACTTTAGCGCATGCGCTCAGGCAACGCAGCCCCGTTGCGACCGCCTCGAGACTGCCTGAACGTACCGGGGCAGGCAACACCACGTGAACGTGCTCCTGTTGCCTTTATTTAAATAGCATAGTACGGTACATTTACACAATTTGTCAGAGCGGTAGAATTCTAACAGCCTCCTGCGGAGCTTTGACTGTGACAAGTCAAAGTGTGCGTTCAGGATGCGCCGCATCCCCGTGCTGCTCCACTTTACATACTGATAATGTGATGTATGCGCATGATACACGGTATGGTGACTTCTCTAAGGTATATATCTTTAATATGAGGCTGTTTCGGCTTGGCTAGATCTTGTGTAGGCTTGTGGCGTGGTGTGCAAAGTCTGTTCATAGCGTACTGTGCCCGATTCCGGCACGTCCGTCTGACGTTGACCCACGAAAGGTTACCCGCCCCAGTGTGTAACTAGAAAGCACACAGAAGAATATGTAAATTTCCTACAGTTCTGTGCATAAAGCCAAAACGGTTGGTTTGTCCCTCCACTTGCGTCTGTCTTGCGCCTCTAGTTGCAGCAAATTACGTTGCACTCCACGACGAACCGCCTACTTTCCCGCATCTCCAGAACCTTGGGCCAATGCCCTCGGGATGGCTGAAGACTGGCGTGGTGGCCAGTTGCTTTTTAGGAACTCTTGCCTGTGTATGCTTGACTCCTAGATTTACAGCCGGCGGAGGCGCTTCAAATAGATCGAGAACTCTCGTCGCTGGACGGCCTGGCTAAAAACTTGTACGTATATATGTGCTTGGATGCAGGCTGCTTACTGAGTGAAGGGTATCCAGCAACTACCTAGACTTATAGTGCATGCATCAGAGGAGATGTTTAGCCTGCTAAGCTCAAACATTTTCGTTACAGTCGGTAACTCCGCTTGTCCCATGGGGGCACGACAGTATAGTGAACCGCTTCAACACAACTGAGCAGCCTACTGGATCGTGTTGACTGGCTGTAAGTGGCCTGTGGGGGAAATGCCCTTTCCGTATCCTCGAAAATCTTGACAAAAAATTCGGCAACTTTCTCTCTGCGTGTAATGGAGGTTGGTCAGCTTACGCATGCCCTTGTTTTGGGAGGCGGCTAACGGCAGGGCGCCTTCTCTAGCTGGAATGAGATTTATTTCTATTGTCTCCAGTGGAAAACGCCTCGAACGTAAATTGACGCCCGCCGCTATAGGGGAGCAACGAAAAAATACCTTTTCTCTCGTGAACTGCATGTTCGCCTTTAAAATGAACCTGAAGAGAGGCAGACACGAGCAGTATTTTTTATAGATCACACTCGCGGTACGGTTGTTGTCCTACATGCGTTGCAGCGTATGCTTAGTTGCACGTCGGCATGAGAACAGGGTATATAGGAGTTGGCAAAACTTGAACGAGCGAAGCAATAGAACAGTGCAACGGTGAATCCAGAAGTACCATTACTTGGTGAACAGAAGTGGAGAGTTGCACTCGGAGCTTTTATGTCAGTGTCCCATACCAGGGTGGTCCAGTGAAAAGCGCAGCCTGTAAAAGGCTGGGCCAGAGCGCGGGAATTCAGGGGTTAAAAGGGTTAGACTTGAGCGCAAAAATGCCACCCACACAACAATGGATGAGAAGGAAGGAGAACGAGTTTTCTGTGCGACCCATATATAGAGTATCAGGGAAGTGAAGCGGTCCATGCCAATTCCTTACACAGAAGAATTGTGGATGCATCCCACGTGAACATGAATGCACTCTCCAGGCCCCTTACTGTTAATGGATGGTGTGCGTTGCGCGATCAATGCCTTCGACTATGCACTGCTGTTTTCTTACTACTTGGATTACCACACGCCTGCATTTCTTCCCAACGTCAAAAACAAGGGACAGGGTAGGCATTGCACCATGGATGAAGATATCTTGTCGTACAAGCCACGAGGTGGAATCCCCCGATCAAGCGTTTCAACTGCAGTTCACAGGGAAGTTTCGAGAAAAACGCGCAATTGTGCTTGGTTATTCAATACACGGTAGAACGGATGGTCATCTCCTTTGGGTGGCCTGGAATGGGCCGATTAAGCTAGCACTGTCTCCTTAATTATCCGTAATGCTAGCAGCTAAACCCGAGAAAAACTCTTGAACACGCAGTTCTCCCGATTCTTGGATTAGTCTCAACTGGTAGCCCAATGGATTTTAGAGTAGGCTTGCCATTCGTCAAATGCAAGAGATCGAATGGGCATACTTCCTGACCCGGCCCAAAACAACCCAAATATTATCACTGCGTGAGTTCAGTTACGGTTCAGGTGGTTACTAGGTTACCAAAGAATGCAGCACCCGACTACTTTCTTTGGTAATCTGCAGGTGCGGTGCGTTCTTCCTTCTACTTAAGAATACCAATAGTGGACATTGATTAGAATAAACAATGAATTGGGCTCTCTGTTGATCGCCCCTATCTCTGCAGATGGTAGATCCAGACGGTAGATCCGCAAAACAAAGAACATTCTACAAAGGATACACTGTGGGCAAAAATGTGCTCTCGGATGTGCTCTAGCGTCACTGGTCATTTAACCGATGCTTGGGGCTTCTTTCATTCGTACATCAGCATCGGCACACCAAGATCTAGCATGTTTATCACGCGCAGCAGTACAATAAGAACTTGCTGTGTATTCTCACTCAGAACTCGAAAGTGACACGGTTTATACTGCAGGGAAACAACTCCATGCAGCACACGGCAAGAATGCCGACAGGCCCAATGGCCTGCTTCCGCCTTGGCGGCAAAGTCGAAAGAATATGACGACAAGGGGCCGTAGCTCTCACGCTCTCACACAAGACGAGGCGTCAGTGTCTAGAATGGAAATACGGCCTCTGACTACTTTCGTAAACTAATATGGCAGATGATGCAAACAACCTGATGAGTTTCAAAGAATGCTTCGACGGAATTTACGGTGTTGCCGCACCTACAATAAAGAATAAAATCCCAAAAGTAAACATCATGAAGCTTCAGCATCGCCACCAGACAAAAGCTATTCTATTCAAGCTGCAGCTCCGACGTCACCTGCGCCACCTTCTGTGTGCATGAAATCTGTAGGCATGCCAAACCCTCAGAATAAACCGGCGGGGTTAAACTATCTCCTATTGACCGTCTGTTGCGATTGGCCAGCTGGTGTCGCAACAGCAATCTTTACACAACTATGCCGCGAAGCGTGAAGAAAGGATCCGTGGGCATAACCTGTGCGGGTTTCTTCAGCATGCCCTCGCAGCGGTTTACAGTCATGGGTGGCATTCACCAGAAGAATCACTTCGCTGTCGTTGTTGCAGAAGAAGAAGTTGCCTTTGAAGTTGCTGCAGGCGGTGTAAACGTTCCCTCAAGCGTTGCTGCTCCGACTCACCCTGCTCTGTCGGTTGCACCCTGCCCGTCAGAAGTCCCATATGCACCATTCCTTGATCAGGGACAGTACCTACTGACTGCTCCGGTGATGGTACTTCTCCCAGGCGTTGTTGCAGACCCATCAGGGAAGCCTGGAGTCGTTGCCTTCTTACCAGCTCCTGTAACTGACGCTCCAGTTGCTGTTCTATTAATGCAGTTCCAACAGATTGGGAAACTGATGCAGGCTGTGGCTGGGTAGGACGAAGCAGCCCGAGCTGCTCCACCAGTCCAGAACTCCTTTCACCAGTGCCAGCTGCTAGGATTGGCCATCCACCCTGTGCAGACCGAAACACTGCTGCAGATCTCTCCTGCTGCAGCAGCTGCTGTTGAAGCTGCTGCTGGATATGCTGTTGAAGGCGCTGCTGGAGTTGCTGTTGCAATTGCTGCTGCAACTGCAGTTGCTGTTGCAGTTGTTGTCGCTGTTGCAACTGCTGCTGCACAAGTGGCTGTTGCGCTGCGGTGTTACATATTCTTCCGGATTGCGGGTATTCCTGCTGCCGCTGCTGTTGCTCCCTTACTGCCTGTACTAGCTGCCAGAGAGAGCGCAGGGCGGCAGCATTAGCTGCTGGTTGTCTCGCTTGCTGCGCATCAGCAGCGGCACCAGGAGTGAAATGCTGCACCGATATGGCGAATGGCGGCTGCGCAGTAGGTAACTCCAGGGATTCCGGGACTTCAGCTGCTGCTGCAGTGCAGTGTACGGCCGCAGCTCTACGGCGGGAATCTTCGGCAAGCCGCTGCTCCGCGTAGGCAACATTCCCTCGGTGTGGATTCACATTTCGCTTCCTGCAACTTCGATGCATTGGAACCCGTGGCGCGTGCGGCGCCACCTGCTGGCGGGGCGGCTGCACACCGGAAGCTTTTGCACCTCCTATGTCTGCCGATGCTTTGCAGAGCTTTTGAGGGTGCCGCTTCCTTGAGGGTCTGAACAGCCGGTCTTGCCAAGCTGGTTCAACTTGACAGAGGGCCTCTATATCTGCATCTTTTGAGCTAACGTGGGGTGCCAAGGAGCGGAAGCGGCGCCTCGGCCGAACTGTAGCCTCAGGCTTTTGCTTTCCAAACACCAGTAGGCCCCTAAGAGCAGTCGCTGCATCTACACGAGCCGAACGTACACACAAGCAACCGCCATCCCCTAATAAACCGTCCGATAAGCAGCTGCAGAAGCTTTTTTTGTCCGTGCTGCAGCTGCCCTTGTCGCCTAGTCGCGTTTCTTCCTCGGATGGTTGGCTCTTGCGGTTACAGCAACAGCCTCGTGCTGAATGATGCAGTTGCTGCAACACCGGGACGCTCAATGGCAAGGCGGAGTCATCTGTTGCATGGATGCGGGAAAGCAAGCTCAGGGCACTGGCAAATCTAGGCGTCTGCGCAGCACAAGCAAACGGATCCATGGGGCGGTCTGCCTCCTCCGATGAAGCCTCATCCTGTGACCCGGGTGAGACATCCTTGTCCCCGTATTCCGTTCGATCACTTTGCGTTTGCTCCAAGGCTACATTGAGCGCCGAGGCGCGATCTGAATTTCCTCGCCTGCTTCCCGTGGCTGTAGTGAGAGCTTCAGGCTTTTCTCCCAGTGCGTTGGATCGCGTATGGCGAGCGCGCTCTTCATCTTCTCTACCCGGACAAGGCTTCCCTACTCCTTCTGTTGCCGAAACGCCTGATGTTGCTGTGTGCCCTTCGCAATGTCCAACTGAATCAGCAGTGCCCATGCCCATATTCGTCTTCGTTGATTGGTCAGATGAGTCCTTGTAGGGTGAGCACGAGCGAACAGCACGCTTCGCCGCCGGCGATATTCGTCTATTCTTTGAAGGGGTTTTTACTCTTACTCCGGAGTGATCTGTAGAGTCAAAGGCCTCCATGTTCACATGTTCACGGCAACCAGCCCTTGATCGCATGCGCATCCTCCTACGGTTCGCTGCTCCCCACGATCTCAACCTCATAGACTTGAGGTCCTCCAGCCTCTTGCACAGCTGCCGGGTCCGTGCAAGGAGGCTCCGAGCTTTGTCAACGAACAACCGCTTCAGCGCAGCCATCTGCAAATCTTCACAAGCTGCCAGTTGCTGTTTGGACTGGTGTGCTGTTCTTTCTTCGGTCCCTTGCCGTGCGAGACGCTCCACAGACTCGAAAATGTGATGCAGGAGATCCCCTCCGAAGTCTGTACTCCCCTCATGACCTCCAACGGTCTCAACACCGGCAACGCTCGCTGACTGTTCTCCGTGTTCCCGCCGTCCTTCACCGTTTTGGAGACGGTGCAGCTCCTGCGTCAACTTCCTGTCTTCCTGGAGCTGATTGGACCCACGGTGCGGAGCACTTTGGCGCTCTCGAAAGGCCTTTGCTTTGCACAATGGACAGCTCCAGTGAGCGTTTGGCTGTAGCTCTGCCGGGGTGGGGGGGGGAAATGCACACCCAATGTGGAACACATGACGACACGGCCTTGGACCAGCTGCTGAGGAGCTCGAGGAGGACGAGGTGCATTCCGGCTTTTTATCTGAAGATGTAGCAGCTGGAGGTAGACCATCGCAAAGAAGCAAATCCCCCTCCCCGCGACACAGCCAGCACAACTGCTCATGTTGCACGGGATCCGACGACTCAGCTGCCTCTGTGCGCCTTCTTGGTACTCCTCCACACGTCCCACTGCTGCCGATCGCCGAAACAAATTGACTATTTGCGAGGCTCCTCAGCACCAATTCTTCTACAATGGCTGCTCTGTGCTTCAGTTGCTCTACATCGGTGACTGGCGGGATTGCAGCACAAAGTCTCTCAAGGGTCTCCATCAGCAGCACGCCCACCGACACAGCTGCCATTCGAGGGGGCCTCGTGTTCCGCGCATGCGCCGGCAGAGCAGGCAGCATAAGTTCCTTCACGAAGCGCTCCAGCGAAGCTGCCGCCGCTTCTGGCGGTGCTGAAGGCACCTCAGCTGAAGGTACCTCAGCTGGAGGCAACTCAGCTGAAGGCACCTCACAGGCTTCAGTTCCCGTTGGCGGTTCTCTACGCGCCCTGCTCTGCTGTAGTGCATGAGCCAGGGCACGTATGGGGCTGAGCACTACGTCTCGTATTAGGCTGTTCTTCTTTGCAAGAAGCAACAAGAAACCTTCCATATCCAATACCTTTCCACAAGACCCGCGTTTGAGACGACGCGCAAACATCTGGGACAGCATGAGTGCCGTTTCGTTCAGAGGCGCATCTTGGCCACTCTCATTAGCAGCTCCAGTGCTGCTCGTAGTGAGCAACAGGGCGTCAAGAAGGTCAGTTAAAAGAGGAAGCTGAAGCTGTTGTTGGTCGTCTGGCCCTTCAGGAATACAATCTTGATGTTCCTGCTTCGTTGGGGTACAGCTTCCCTTCTGCTCCTGCTGTTCGCCACCACCTGACGACGGAGGAGTTAAAGGGAATTCCGAAAGGAAAGTCCTGTAAAAAAGGCGCTGAGCAGTTGTAGGTAAGCGCTGCATGAAGCTGACTGCGGCTTCTGATAAACTGTTGACATGCGGTATTGCAGGAGGTTCATCCATTGCAGCATCATCGCCCTCTTCCCCCAATGCACGTGCTGTGTTTGCATTGCAAAACTCCCCCTCGTAAGGAACATTGTCAACGGCGAATGACTCAACGCTGGTGCCACTATTGGGGCTGCCCTGATGCTGCACAGCCAGCCTTTTGAGGAGCTGCTCGCTGCCTCGTCTTATGAAGGCCAGGCAATGCGCAAGAAAATACTCTTCAGCCGCCGCAACGTAGGGGGCTCTCCGCTCGGATTCACAGGTGTGGGGGGCACGCCGGCCGCCTCCCACGTCCGCCCAGCTTTCCCCCTCTGCGTCCGTCAAACCTAGGTCTGACTGGTCAGTTAAGTAATGCCCACGCAGCACTCGTGGTAGTGGCGGCATCGGAAATCCTGAGAACGGGCACTGCGGCAGGAAACCTTCGCGGGTCTGCCGAAAAGATTCGTCCTCCCAGGTTCCTGAAGGCGCTTTAAAATACTGTTCACCACGAGAAGAGGTGTCTGCACTTTGGGGACGGTCAACCGCTTCGTTGCCATCGGATGAAGGACCAAACTGGGCTGAAACGGGAGGCAGGCAAAAGCAATCCAATGCGAAATTCCTTCCATCTTCTCTGGGGGGAAGTGGGAGTTGTAGACACTCGTGAGCAACTGCTTCCCCAGCGCGAAGTCCTGCAACCCAAACGCACGCCTACTACATGAACTAATGCTCTCGCTGAACTGTGCCCACAGTCTAGCATGTGCATGAAATAATGCACATGAGCCGCAACTTTGCAGGAAACGAGTGACGAGCAAACGCCGCCGGAAATTCGTGATCGCCGGCAGCGCAAAAGCTCAGTAAGTCTTCTACGTAGCCCTCGGTCTAGGCGTTCAAAAAACAAGGCAACTGTTGCTGATTCCCTATGTACCTGTATCAAAAGCGCCGTCGACGCATTGAAAATAGGCCTTGCTAAGGTGCTCCCCACAAAAAAGTACGCGAGGGTCATGTGCTGGATGGGGAGCTCTCATGACGTCAAGGTCGTTGTCGTACGCATTCACTCCCTGCAACGGTCGGACACACAAAGCAGATTGGCGAGATAGAACAGCGACATGGCGCGCTTGAAGCCTGCCTTCTTGACCCCCTAGGGTTGGCAGCGTTCTTTCAGGTGTCGCATGCACAAGGGTGCACTGGGAGGGCATGGTGGGGACTAAATGAGGCAAATAATGTGAAGCAGCACTACAGAACAGAGCATTCAACGAACCGGGGTGGAATACGAGCCTCGAGAAAAGCAATCTTCGTCCCAGCGTGAGACAACAAAATCAACTGGCCGAGGAAAAGAATCTCCAGAGATGCCAAACATCTGCTGCAGTAGTGCCAGTACTTCAGCTACCACCTGAACACCACGACGGCACAACAGGATTGTGGCAAATTCACCACCCATCTGAACTGAGCTCTTGGACTTGTCGCCAACCTTCAGCTTTTAAAGAAACTACAACCGGCCACGGCAAAAACGGTGATAACCAGACAAAAATGCAGAAGAAAACTAGCCCCTAAAAGTCTAGCGCACCTCTTGGTCAGTGTGAAGACCCCCGTAGCCGGTGGAAAATGGGGGGAAGCAATGTGCGAGAAGGCACCCTGGCTTCCCATAGGCATGGAGGTTCAGAAACTGGAACTTCTGATCGAGGCAATTCAGTTGCAGGCCCCGTCCATGCCAGAAAACGTCGTCAGGGTGCCACCGAATGATTACCTGATTTAACGAAACGGTCAATGCAGCCGCAAGCCCCAATCTTGTATCTCCAAAAAGTCCCAGTATTGAATTTCACAACTGCCCCCAGTGCACAATTCAACAGCGAACCTGCGCTGCTTCTCCCTCACTCCAAAGTTTTACTCACAAGCAGCCCCAGATTAACCCATTCATGCAGGCCCCGACACTTTAACTCTGTTGCAGCTGCCTGAAGCGGAAATTACCACTAGCGGCTGACATGTGGGATGCAACACACCGACAGAGTGCTGCAGCAGCACTCACCTTATTGTGGCATCCCATTCTGTACCGTGCAAGAGCGCGGCGCTTCTCTATTCCAAGAGGAGGCGAAAAGTCAATCAGGCCCAGGGTTGGTGGAAGCTGCTCTTCAGCGGTTGAACCTCGAGTGCACGGCAATGGCGCTTGAGCAAGCTGTGCCAGTGGGACCGCCACAACGCAATACTTAGCGTGCGCCCTGAAAACGCATACGGAATCTGTTGGAAGGACTACCAGTGGATGTGTCTCGTTTGCGACTGTTGCTAGTCCACAGTGGACGACAAAACTTCTCAGACTACATTAGCAACGCAGAATGCCTGATAAACAATAATCGAAGTACAGAGCCAGATCCCACTGCAAGGCTCCTCAGCATTAACCAAGGTGGGCAAGTAGTGGAAAGCGGTAGGACCATTTAGATGGTGAAAACAGATAGCCTCCTACCAAATGTGCGTTGGCGGCTCATTTTGTTCCTCCGCTTGTGGGAGCCCATGAGAAGCAGTATGGCGCAGGCGACGATTCACTTCGACTCGAAGGCGTACTGGATGTGTGTCTGCAAGAAAGGCCCCATCCCCACTAGCCTCTTCATCATGCGTGTCACACCCACCATCTCCAGAAGAGTCGTCCTTTGTGCCCAACGAAGCCCGCGATTCCTCTACGGGGCTAGAAGAAGCAATATTTCGGCACCCTTGAATATGGCGGCGACGATCCATGACACAAATCGACTGCACAGTGGCTTCCGTTACAACAAAAGGGGACACTTGCAGGCACAAGAACAAGGGCAGCCAGCCCCAGCCATCCACGACAAGTTTGTCAGCAGCATTGGCAGTAGAGGCCGAAAAAGGGTAAACATGGACATTTTGCTCTTGCTGTAGGGATGTCTCCAGCGCTGCTTGCTGCATGCGAAGCCGCTGCATGCTGGGGGCCGGCGGCACAGCCAGTGGCACTGGTGGAGGCCCTAACTGTGGGGTTAACAACACCTCTCTGAGGGCTGGTCCTATCCCAGCAACTTCATACGGATAATTTTTTACAGCAGACAGGGGTAGCTCCCTCAGGTCACCCACGTAGCCAAGCCTAGACTGCAAAACAACCAAAAGCATGCGAGCTTCTGCAGGAGTAATAGCTGGGGGTTTACGGGGTCGAAGAGCACGACAATCCCTGTTAACGCCATCTTTGCTACTTGAGCCGCCAGTGTGCAACCCCTCATCGGCCTCCGCCTCTGCCAGTATTTCGAACAGGGAAGCCTGCAGAGCATCCCATGCCGACCGACGGAAACCACTGTCATCGTGGAGCGACAAAGGAGGGACCAGCCGCGCATGTGCTTGCGTCCCTGCCGTTGTGTTGCTTTTCTTCGGGCGGCTGCCCTTCATCAGTTGCTGTCCATTGGTGGTGCTTCCACTATGGACACTGTTGCCTCGAGTTCTCGTGCACACACCAGACTGCCGCTTCGTTAAATCCTTCCGAGTTAACTGCTGTTGGATGTCAGAGTCCAACTTGCATGCCCCTTTCCCATCTGCTGCGAGTTCCCTTGTCTTGCAAATGATCTCCCCCACCGAGTTCATTTGCAAGGCCCCTCCACCGCGTGTCAGCTCCCCGTCGGTGGCCCTAGCATCGCCCAAGGGTGTTACGAGGGCTTTAGCGGAGCATCCCGGCTGGACAAGAGGTGCCGGAGAACCCCATAAACCCTCCCTTTTTGAACTGGAGTCGTTCCCCTCTGATAAACCTCCAGAAATTCCATGTTTCTCATCAAATCGCCTAGAAGCTCCCCCACAGGCCCCTGTGCAGCACAGAGGACATCCTCCATATGCCCTGATGGCCCTGCGGACAAAAGCTTGTCCTAAAGGGTAGTACGAATAATACCGGCAGTTTGATATGCTCCTGTTTAGCTTGGAAACGCCACGGTCCTTCGAGCCTGGGGCCCACTGACAACAAGGATCAGTAATATCGTGTTGCTCATCGGCAATGTCCTCTTCTCCCACTTCGCACCCGCTGTCACCTCTCATAAAAGCCTTCGGGTTAGCATGCTGACTGCTCTGACCCTTGTTAGCTTCGCCACCCGTAGCATTAAAGGTGTAGACGGCATGCTTGGGGAGGTCTTCCTGAAGGGCGGGGACGCTTACATGACAATTGTCGGTGGGGTCTGTGATGTCCTCTGGCTGTGCGACACCCGCAGTATCGTTGATGCTGCACATACTGGTCGATCGTCTTCTATCTAGGGACGCAACCAGTAACTGATCAAGGGAAGGGGCCAGAAAGTCTGCTGCGGGAATTGTATTGGGCAGAGGAGCAGCTGAAGGACCTGGGCCCCCTGCTTCGGTGAGGGGTGGGGGCAAGTGCAAGAGCTTTGCAGCCGTCCTTTCGCGTAGCCGATCAAGCAGTTGATGCACCTTTAGTACAGAGAGAAAAGGTATTTCTTTCCCAGAAGTCTGGTCGCTCCAACTGCAACAGCAACACACCAGGCAAAAGGACCTGGAGATCCGGCCACATGAGGCCCCTTCCCGATTCACAAAATGCCTGACCCAAAGCCGCCAAAATCCCCAAAATTTTCACGTTTTTCTGGGGTCGGTTGCATTTCCCCAGCATGCCGCCAGATACGCCTTCCAACCAGCAGCGGTTCGGTCGTTGTCTACCGACAGAGGAAGAGCAAGCCACTGCCTCACCTTGCAAACAGCGTCGACTCCCAGTTCTGTTTCCCAGCCACATCGGCCACTAGCGGCTGCAGCACCGCCGCTATGCCACTGACAGATCGAGAAGGTTCCCGACGCCAACGGCAATCCGGCGCACCTCCGCTCTCTTTGGGGTGTGCTGTCACGCAGTGCATGTAAGAAGCACCTAGGTCAATCACAACACCTGCACAGGCACAGAAAGCAGAGTCACACATATCGGGCAGCAAATACAAGAAGAACGCAAACTTCCTTTGGCCCGCTTGCACAGTGTGCATGCACCGCTGCGCTCTCGGAAACTGCCAGAAACAGAGTAACGAGGCGGAGAGGCAAAGGAGCAGTTATGGGTAGGGGCTGCATGTGTGGAGGTACAGGGAGAACGACTACGGGGCTGCTAAACAAGCGGAATGACGAGATACAACACCCTAAACGTCCAACTCAGCTAATGCCCCGGTTCCTTGGCAAGCTACTCCTGAGCCCGTCAGTCCCAGCATAACCTAAGTGAGTCTCTGCATCCCCAACACCTGCAGCGAGGGCGCGTACGTTCGACTTTACGGCCGTCGGGTAGTACCCTCTCCGGCATTACAGACGAGAAAGTGCGTCCGCCAACCCGGTGGCGTCCCTCAAACACAACTACAGAAGCTCCGCATCGCCTGAGGTAAGCAGCAGCAGCCAGCCCTGCTACCCCGGCACCCACCACCGCCACGTCGACAACAAATGACGGCACCTCGCCCTCTCGGTGCTGCTTTTGTTGAGATGCCTCATGACTATAAGGCTGCCCTTCACGCTGCACGTTCGCTTCCCCAGATGTATCTACCTCCTGATCAGGCTGCTCTCGCTGCTGTTGCACCCTGTGCTTATCTCTGGTACCGAGAACCTCTCTTAGAGGGACACCAAACCCCAGAAGGTCTCTCGGCTCCACTGCTCCAAATACTGAATTCCACAGAAACAGAGCAAACGACACAAACCAATGGAGGGTCAAAAATACTTGTCTCATGGGTGCAAATTAGCAACTGTTCCGCCTATATATGTGTCTTCTATTCGCGAGTGTCTGTGTCCAGTGCTACTGGTATCCATATCCACATACACAAGCAGTAACATTCAAAGCCCTCATGAGCTCAAACAAAAAGAAAAGAAGAACATCTGACATCACAGCAAATGGCACTGACGGTGCACGGGTTTAGACGGAATGCGGAGTCTCTCAGCAGGGTAGGACTCCCTGAAAAGCACTGGTCTCTTGGGCCTCTTCCCCAAAGTCTGTAGTTATCCACCTTACAAGGGCGTCGGTAAAGAGGAATCTCTTCGGCTACAGCCGTCAGATGCCGCTGCGCGCCTCCGGGGCCGATGCCCTTCCGGCTCCCCGTCTGTGGCTCCCAATCCTTTGCATTTTCTTCAAACTCCAGAGCTCTGTACAGATCTGATGACCCTGCCAGGCGCTGGTTCTCATGCACGGGAACACTCAAAGCCCCGACGCGAGCAGTGGTTTCCCCGAAGCATGCAGCACCACCGCCATAGGCCTCTAAGTAAGAAGATGCTAGGTCATCGGGGGGTGCATCACGGTAGTCCGCGGGGAATCGGGAAGGGCGGCTTGGGGCACTGCGCGCTGCGAGGTCCTCACTAGCCATAACCTCTTCCAGGAGCAAGGCGGATTCAGCAGCCTCCACCACGCGACGGCTTGGGGTACGTTTTCTCTTCGCAGTCGATTCAGGGGCGTGACTCTCAGGCCCGGGTGAAGATGGCTCCAAACGGCGTCGACGACGAGCTTCATGGCCGCCTGTCCCTTGAACTGACTCCTCACAGGGGGCTGGGAGGGAAGGCAAATCATCCTGTCCTTCCTGGGGCTTCTTGTGGCGTTGGGTCTGCCGTTTAATATCCACTTCTCTCTCCGAACTTTGATGACCTCTTGAGTGCGCTCTAGGTCGCTGTTTCTGCTGAATATCTTGCTGCTCATCCTCCTCTTTTTCCGAGCAGTGGCGGTCACGTGAATGGTTGCTGGCCTTCTCTTCCGGGGCACCAAGCCCGTCCCCGTGAGTCAGCATTGGTGCCGAGGCCTCCCCGGAGCCTGCTGCACGTTCCTAGCGGCGCCACCAGCATCTGCCGTTTGCTTGATCCTGAGAGCCTGGACAACGGCAGGCCTTACGAGGTGGCTCTCTTAGGCGGAATCATTTCAGGAGCCGCCGTCTCGAAGCGTGGTGGCTCCGAGCGGACACGGCGCACCCTCCCTCTGGAGTGCGTAGTCTTCCAAAGGAAATGGTTGAGTTAGCCGCTTACGGACACATAGACACTCCCTAAAGGGGCAGAGGAACGTTAACAACAAAAAAATATCGAAAAGTGTAGCTAGGCCACGAGCCGCCGATACACAACGGAGCGGCGAAGTAAGGCACTCACTCCCGGCAAGACCCTCACAATTTTGTCAAATTTAATGGCATATTCACTATGGAATCTGAAGCCACCGAGCGCTAAAGAGCACCTTTACAGGCCAATCACCCGGCAACTCGCACTAGAGCAAAGTAGCGTCAGCTTGAAACTAGCGTTCCTCCACAACCTCAGGAGGGACTTGGGTATAATCTAGCCAGAAAGCTCCCCTTTATAAACTTTCTTTGTGCTTAGCTGTAATTGGTACTTAACCTAACGCCTACGATCCTGCATGCATTGATGAGGGGGATAATGAATGGGCCTTAACTCTGTGTGTGTGTGTGTGGGGGGGGGGGCTGGGGGCAGGAACCCGCAAAGAGCAAGGATTGGG